TCCGAAGTTTTTTTGAAAAATCTTCTCGTGAAAAGTAACATCAAAGTATTGTATGAAGGCAATGAAGAATTCAGGATACTTACTTGCCAATGAATGACTGTCTATTTTCTTTGTATCAACTAAACTGATCATCTGGAATAAAAGAAATGAGAATTGAAGACACTCTCTATTGTTTAATTTTTGATATATTCATTGAAGCGAAGTCAAAAAACAAAAGAGTAAATAATTGAATAATCGGTACTTCTAAAAAAATTAGATTACATACTTTTGTCGATGTTATGCTTTAGGTTATGTGAACTACTTTCACAGCCTATTATAACATTTAAAATATGTGAAATATTTTGTTCATTATCTAAAGACTTCATGATACCTGTTGTTCGATAATTTCCATTTGACAGATGAAATTGAACAACATCACTATGCTTGTATTCTGACATATCGTAATAGGCTTATTGAGACAAGACAGTTTCTATTTACAACATAAACAACCGCATTAGTTTTCAAATGAGAATATCTTCTATCTTATTTTATCTTCCTACTTTCAAGCGTATACTTTTTATTCTCACGCTAGAAGTTTTTTAAAAATTTTTAGACGCATTTGACACAGATTTCCTAAATGAACACACAATTTCAAAGTTTGAATTTAACCAAAACAAACGCTGAAGATTCCTACGCTATCGCCGATTATTATGTGGTCTGCACACTTCCAGCAATTCTATTTTTGATTGATATAGTCAAAGCTGTTCAAATCTTAGTAGTAGTAAGCAGAACAAAACGTCGTCTTCATACAATTCGACATTTACACGTATGTAATACGCGCATTGTATCGATGATTTATTGTATTATACAAATATATAATTAAATTTTTCTCATTTTTCTTACCTTGGGAAACAAATGATATTAATTGTCAATGGCATGGCTACCTTTCTTACTTCGCCATATCTGCAATTACTTGTTCATTTTGTAATTCAAGCAATATCACGTCTTTTTTATTTCTGTTCTTTCAACGAAATATATAGACTTTTGATTACATTTGAAAGACACTATATTCTCATCACTTTTCAATGGTTGATAGTTTTAATTATTCCTTTACCAGGAGTAATATCGCGTACTCTACACATTCGTTCCTAATTATTTCTTCCTACTGCATCTACCAGTGTAATACATATTGCAATTTATTATCATGTGAACAAACTTTCAAACCGTGCTGAAACACGTGTAAGATCGATCAAAAATGAAAAGTGTGATCTTGAAATACTTCGTGATATACTGATATTGTTGTGTATTTATTTCTTTGGCGAAATTTCAAGCATAATATTTATATTAACTGGTTGCAAAAAAAATATATTTAGCAAGTATTGTTAGTATGTCTTTAATGGTAGCTGTTGAAAAAGTATGAACAATTCTATTGGACAGAGATATTCGTCAAGTTACTATGAATTTACTGACTTCCCGTAATCGTATCGCACCGGTTCGTCGCATTCTTAATATACCAAGACGATTCTAAAATTCGAATGATATGCGATAAAAGCCTCACCAATAGAATTTTTCTGGAAAATAATAAAATGCGACAGCGAAACTAATTTCAGTATTTTATTGCTAGTAAGATTTTATGATTGTTTTTTATTCCATAAAAACGTTTTCATCAAACTTCTGAGCAAGGAAATTTTAGTATCAAAAAAATAGGTTATACATTCATTCATTTTTAGCTGACTTTATTTTATTGATTCATTGATTTAATTCGATCTTTGTGAAGGCGCAGGACAAAGGATTTAAAAAACCTATATCAATGTGTTTGAACAAGAATACTTTAGAAACGAACGAGTAAGTCATACGCTATGACATGTTTATTAATTTTTCTTATAGAGATTGTCAAAAAAATTCAACTCTATGATTCATTAATTACTTCGTTCAGTAATGCTCTAGAGTGAATCATTCATATACTGGTACATTAAAAGATATTAATCTGTTAGAAAGTTTGATTCTTAACTTCGTCATTCAGATTATCACACCAAAAAAAGCGGCTTTTTTTAACTATGATTCTTCGATAAGTAAATTAATCCTATCAGTCTACATAAGAAGTTTTTGTCCTCTAGTCTGCAAAATAACTTTTAGCTTATGCTACATAGATTAGTATTATTTGCATCAATAGTCTCATATTGCATTGACTTTTTGTGTCAGGCTAACCTAAATTAATTTTGAGTTACGTTATCTTAGAAATTCATCCTAAAGTTACATTTTCGTTGAGAACTATCGCTTAGATCAAATAGTTCGCTGAAAGACGTTGATAATGTTACACTTTTTTCAAAAATACAGAAAATACAAAACAATTGTATTGACTATCGATCACCTTCCAACACAATTTGACTACACCCCTAGATATATGTTGTTATTAATAATATTCTTGTTTCATTATAGAAATGTATTTGTCATCCATGGAACAAAGAATATGATGGAAAGATATCGAAGACCAATTATAATCTATTCTTTTATGTTTCTATTAATAAATATTCTACGTAGCTATTACCTTTCCTACAATATGAAATTCTAACTTAGTAATTTCATAAATCTTTTCGCTAAATTTATAAAAATGAATTATTATATTTCATTTTTCATACGGATAACCATGTATATATTATTAATCCAACTCATCAAATAGTCTATATTGAATTTCATAGTTGGCATCTCGAATTTCTCCAAGGTTTTATCGCTCTTCAAACATCATGCGATTAAATTCGATTTCCTAGCACATTGTCTAGTGAAAGAAAGTTGCATGACAATGTCTCGTAATCAGATATGTTTATCAAAAACAAAAAACAAAAACAAAAACTGAAGATATTAGATAGAATTTGTGTTATCTAAAAACTTGACATAATGTTTAAATTTCTCTATGCATTTCATTACATCATAGAAAATTATAATAACTATTATCGTTAGAAAATTAATACATATTTAGATATACAAGAACAAGAGCTTAACATATTTTTTAAGCTTATAGAAACGATAAGTATTCGCCAGGGTTCTCTACTTCTCAAGACACGAGTATAATTATATCTAGTAGGAAACAAACCAAGAATATGTTGAATCAATTGGTTTCTTATGTTATCGATATACGTAGCATTTGATTGATAGTAATACGTTTCATCAATTCATCAATATTACTTTATGTTTTGTGACTCTGTATTATTGCCACTGAAAAAATAACTTCTACGAAATTCTATGTTGTTAGCTCTTCTGCATAGAACAAATTAATATTTTAGATGACATTTTAATAATGACATATTTCTATTTTGATAACGTTACCATTATACAGATTTCATTGTTTCCATACACAAAACTGAATCAAGATTTATCTTATCACATTTTTTTTCTTGAAATATTGCATCGCTTGTTTTGTTAATTCTCGATACTCAAATGATTTGCTTGTAGACGAATTAAACTTGGATGCTAAAGTTGAAACTTCTGATGTGCAATCGACCGATTGAATAAAGCTTCATTGTCATGCAATAGAAAATAATGAAAAAGTAGACTCATTTACATTCACTCATTAATATTTTTGCACATAAAATACATTCGCGAAAAAATATTCACTTGTAAGAAGCAACCTTAATAGTTTGTATTCATTTTCTCATAGTGTATTCAACTCAAATATTCTTTTATCATGTCGTGTAGTATTTCCCAAGGTTTGTTTAGGCAATGGAACCATTTTGAAGATCATTATTTGATATAAATAAATAATTTTATTTTGATTGATGGATTATTATTCGTTTATTTTCTATGACTGAGGCAGCTAGAACTAATTGTTTTTAAAATAATTTTCAGCCATATCTTATTCATCAAATAAATATTAAAAGCATTGCCAATATTTTTGAACAATAATTAATCATAAACAAAAATAATTTCTTGTCAATATTTTAGATATTTTCAAAACTTAAGTTGCAATTTTCAAACTGTTTTTTCTTTTTACTAAAATACATACTGATACGGCCATTCTTGATTTGCTCGTTGATGCCATATTGAAGTGGAAATTCCCTCTGATGCTTTTCAAGTACATAATTGAACACGTATTGTTTCATCTTACTTGTCTGAAGTTAAAGGCATACAATAAGAAAATATTGGCATTTTCGAACACGTTAGCCTTATAGGACTTGATGTCCCAATTGAGATATACTTTTTCTACATTCTTGTACCATCTTAAATCACAATAACAACAACTCAAATTGGACAATTTTGCAATGGTATACATGTATATGTATTCCGTTCTGCAAGAGAGACGATATCATCATGCGCACAGTATAGTCCAAGGTTGTCGAGCAAGCAGCATATAGCTGTCGTCGCTAAAAGAGCAAGAAACAGCAGCGATGGCAACAATATACTGCCAAGGCTTTTTTGTTTTTGTACTTAAGTTGACAAATAGAACGACAATAACAACAACAACAACAACAACAACAATAGCTAAATTGCCTAGAAGGATATTATACAAAAATGAATAGATAAAAATGCGAAATACAAAAGAAATTTATCTCTTTCCTTAATAAAAGAAATATTCTAAACCAAATATATCTATTCAATTGTAGAGAACAGAAAGCTACAAAGAAAATTTTTTTCTAATCTTGTCTAACAATCCAATTCATCTATTCTTTTTCTTTCTTTAGCTTTATTGATTATTTCTAACGTGTTGTTAAAGATGATTACCATCAAGCGTTAGTACCATTACCGCAAAAGGAAAAAAATAGTTCTAGAGAGGAGACAAGCGACGATTGGATAACATAAATACAGAAATAACCTCTGCTTTTTTCCTATTTCTACTATCTGTCTTTTCTGATAGTAATAGCAAAACGGATTGATATCGTTCTCGTTTCTTCGTATTTCTCTGTCTCTCTCTCTCTCTCTCTTCCTTTGTTGCTACTACTACTTATCACTACTGTCGTCGCCGTTCTTTTACATCTTAACATCTCCCGGACGCACTAAGAACAACAAACCAAGCAGCAGCAATAGCAATGGCCGATTTACCCAGTGATAAAGTTGATGAAGCTAAACAAGTCTTTGAAGTATTCGATAAGAAATATGAAGTAAGACTTTTTAACATTATTATTATTATTCGAATCAATTAGTTCTATATAAATAATAATAATAATAATTTTATTAAAGGGAAAAGTCGATGCATTCTATATTGGAGATATGCTTCGCTCGCTTGGTTTATATGCAACACAAGCTGAATGTGAAAAACGTGGTCAAACAAAGAAAACAGGAGAAAAATCCATCAAAGTTGAAGAATTTTTACCAATCTACTCAGAGTTTTATAAAATGCCACCCAAAAATTTTGGTACATATGAAGATTTTATGGAGGGCTTAAAATTATTCGATAAAGAAAGTAACGGTTTAATGTCATTAGCTGAACTTACCCAAGTACTTGTTGCTATGGCTGAAAAACTTGATCCACAAGCTGTTGAAGAAATTCTTCGTTCAACAAATACAAAAGATGATGCCGAAGGCATGTTTAATTATGATGTTTTTGTTCGTGCTCTTCTTCAAGGTCCGTTTCCAAATGAATCAACATGATAAATTTAGAATAATTTCAATTCAAAATTTACAAACATTAGAAGAATCAGTGTTTGTTATTCGTCGTGTTTTTCCTGCCTATCTTTTTTTTTCTTTCTATACATGTTTATTCCTCAATCATCAACCCTTTTCTTTTCTTTTATATGCACAAACACGTTCTATTCAATACAATGCACAGCAAGAAGAAGATAGTCAGCGATCATCATCATCATCATCGATATCATCATCATCGATATCATCATCATCATCATCATCATCATCCTCTTTCATTCTCTGTGCGTGTATTCGTGTATGTTTTATTTATGTATACCATTTTATATTTTTGTGTTCAAGCAACTTCTTTGCTGCTGCTATTAATTTTTGAGAATATATATTAGTATAAGGCTATCAAACAATCATCAATTTTACCAAGAAGTATTTATTCTTGTTCTTTTTCTAATTAAATTTCATTATTTAAAACAAAAACAAAAAAAAACAATATATATATACGTCGTAGGCCAATCTAAAATTCAGCCCAAACTAAAATTTGAGTTTGAACTAGTCCAATCTTGAGTTGATGCAATTCTATTCAGTAATATATAAATAAATTTTTAGATAGACGTTGAATTTGAGCAATTTTTTGAAATCATGTTCAGATAACATCGTTTTATGTATTACAAACATTCACGAAGAGGCTAAATTTAGACTCAAAGACTTATTAACCATTTTTCATAAAACTTGTTCTCCTGCAGAAATTTATTGATAACTCCTAAAATTTTACTTTAATCTTTCCAAAAACTATTGTGCAAAGCAAATTGGCATCGTATGAATATGATTTCCAAAAATTGCTTAAATCCAACGTCTATCTAAAAATTTATTTATATATTACTGAATAGAATTGCATCAAATCTGAGATTGGCCTAGAAAAAAGCTAGGCCAAACGTCAATTCTAGATTGAACTAGTCGAAACTCAAATTTTAGTTAGACATAGGCCAATTTAGGATTGGCCTGAATTTTAGATTGGCCTACGACATATATATTACTTTCTATTGTTTCTTTTCAAAACAAAAAGATCAAATATTGCATATGTACAGGACAGAAAAAGAAAAATAAGCGATAGGAAATACAATGAAGCGTTTAGATCCTGAAACTAGGAATAGAGTCATCTCTTCTTGATAACAATTCTATAATATCATGCATTTTTATATCTTTAATAAAATATTTATTAGAAAGAAATCGAGATTTTTTCCAATACTCCTTCATCATACTAATTAATTATTGTCTTCTGTTAACAATACGAATTTTTTCCCCAGTTTCTATTGTATTTTTATCAAATATATATATATATATTCTAAACTGTACAACAGATTATGCCGTAATCATCAATGCTTCATCATTATCTTATAGGCTACTTGTTTTTCTTTTCACAAATTAGTAACTGATTGAATTTACAATCCATCTTGAATACTTAAGAAAAGCGAACAACATAATAAATATAGTTGTAAAATAATAAAGAAATCCAAGATAAAAAATAAAGATTAAATTTTTATTAGTTACAAAGTTGTAAATATGCACATAGATATACCGCAATTAAATGATTGTGACATGTAGGAAACCGGGAAAAATATATGCTATATTCAAAGGCAAATGGACGACAGAAAACTGACAATAGCCATTCAAACCACATAGTATCCCATATATTTTGAGTTTGATTTTTTAGTAACAAAAAGAAAAAGAAAGTTTTTGAATAAACTAAAAATCATTGATAAAAAACAGTTTTAGTTGTAAATTTCTTTGAACTTAGTTAAAAATATGTTTTTTTTATAATGTCGGTTCTTATGTTTGGTCTGATTTTCTGAAGAAGAAGAAGAACTATTTTTTTTTAGAGCACTGCGAAGGTACGTAAAGTTGCGGTCATGTTCATAATGTTGAAGTTGATAGCTTACTGATTTTCACGCTTATTTATTCGTAAAGCCGATAGAAATATAAAACAAGATTGATAATTTATTTTTGACTAGTTAATTTAGAAAACTTTTTATATCTATGTCTATGTACAAATTCTTTTGATTTCTTGTTTTTTCTTCATATGTCAAGATATTAATAAGATGTTTTTCATCTAGTTTTATATTGTTTTAAAGAAAAAAAAAAGATTTCATCAACATTTCGTTATATTAAAAAAGAATGTATCACTTAATTTAGAAATTAGAAAAGGCGTTTATTTTATTCTTCATAAAACGTAGTCCTTTTCTATGTCACGTTCAATAAAAACTGATAAGTGAAATGAACATGAAAAATAGGGTCACAACAGTATGTTGTGCAGAGGTTGACGCGCTTGACGTAGTCGTTATTTGCTCAGATACAGTTGTAGCTTTAGTTGTGATAATCGAACTGTTCGTAGATGTCGTTGATACTGGAGCTGTCGGTGTTGTAATTCTGGATGTAGTAGTGATCGATGTTGCAGGTCTGGATGTAGTAGTGGTCGATGTTACAGTTCTGGATGGTGTAGTAGTAACTGTAGAGGTTGTAATTGTTGAGCATATATTTGTACCATTGCTAGATTCACCTGTTGATGCATTACCAAAAAAGGCAGTATAATCACCTAGTTTTACACAGAATTGTTCTCTAATCTAAAACAAAAAGGTTTGAAAATTTTATGCATTTCAAAATTTCTGTTTCTTTTCTGAAATATTCACCTCTTTAAATAGTTCAGGTCGAGAACAATCATCACCACGGCAAAAGATATCAACTTCCCATAATTCAACATTTCTAGGACGACTGCCATATATAACACCTTCCATTTCAACTCGATGAGGATCTATTTCGAAGAATTCTGAATCAGGTGGAGCACAAAATGATTGATAACATAATTCATCCTTCTCTGGATCATCATATGTATCGGAAACAACACAAGTCGTATTGCATGCTTTAACCGGACATCGACCAGCATCAATAAATTCACTTGTGCCACATTGAGGAGCTTCTGGACATTCATGACAATCGCGTACTGGTTGACCAGCACCTAAAACATTGGTATTTAACCATGCATCTGGTAGACGCATTTGAAAACTGTCTGGCAGATGAGAAATAAGACTAGGATTATTACAATAATCCCAATTACATCCAAAAACGGCAACATTATTTATTGTACTCCATATTTTAGTTGTTTCGTTGTAAATAATCGATTCTTCGACAAGTAAGTATGGAAATTCAGATATATAGACACGAGTTGAGTTTCGATTTATATGCTCTAAAACGACAGCATAGTCTTCACCGAAACTGTCACGTATAATTGTGCAATAAGTTGATTTAGCACTATATACAGTGAATGTTTCACATTCACAAACGGGATCATCATAACAAAAACAATCATAACAAATAAGTTCAGGTTCGATGATAGGTCGAGATGAGTTATCGAAAAGAAGAGTAATATTAGTTGCGTCTATTGTTAAATTTTGTCGAATTTCATTGAATATTTCAGGTCGTGAGCAATCATCTGCTCGACAATATAAATCAATTTCCCAGAGTTCTACAACTGTAGGTTGGTCACCGTAGATAATCCCTTCAAGTTCAACACGATGTTGATTTTCTTCTGGATCTGAATCAGCTGAAGCACAATAAGATTGATAACATAGTTTATCTTGTTCGGGATCATCAAATGTATCGGAAACAATACAAGTTGTATTGCATGGTTTAACTGGACATCGACTAGAATCGAGAAATTCCGTTGTACCACATTGAGGAGCTTCTGGACATTGATGGCAATCGCGACTGCTCGATCCATTGTATAAAATATTTGTATTCAACCATTCATCGTTTAGAGTCATTTTGAAACTATCAGGAAGTAATTTAACAAGGCTGGGATGATTGCATAAATTCCAATTGCAACCATAGACTAAAATATTAGCACGCGTACTCCAACTTTTGGTAGTTTCATTGTAAAGTATTGATTCTTCTGCAAGAACATAAGGAAATTTACGAATATAAACTCGAGTTGAATTTCTATCAATATGTTCTAAATCAGTTGTAAAATGACCATTTTCATAATTGACACGTATAATTGTACAATAGCTTGTCATTGCATCTGCTGGTTTCACTGTGTTGCATGAACAATCAGGATTATCATAACACGCACAATCATAACATGTAATTCTCGGTTGAGTAGGTGGAACAGTTGCAGTTTGAGTAGGTGGTGCAAGTGTAGTTGTTATTGTTGGTAAAGTTGTTATATTGAAGAATGCTGAAAGATCACCGGTGTTTAGTACAAGTCCTGCTTGTAATTCTTTAAATATTTCTGGTCGAGAGCAATCATCGGCACGGCAAAAAATATCAACTTCCCATAGTTCGACTTGAGCATTGGGACGGTTGCCGTATAAAATTCCTTCGATTTCAACTCGATGTGGGCCCATTTCGAAAAACTCTGAATCAGGTGAAACACAAAATGATTGATAACATAATTCATCCTTCTCTGGATCATCATATGTATCGGAAACACGACAAGTCGTATTGCATGATTTAATTGGGCATCGACTACTATCAAGAAACTCCCCTGTGCCACATTGAGGAGCTTCTGGACATTCATGGCAATCACGTACTGGTTGACCAGTACCTAAAACACTGTCGTTAAGCCATGATTCTGAGAGACGCATTTGAAAACTGACTGGCAGTTTAGGCACAAGACGAGGATCATTACAGAAGTCTGTATTACATCCATAAATAATTGCATCCGACTTTGTGTTCCATCGTCCATTAGCTTCATTATATAGAATTGATTCATCGACAAGTAGAAAGGGAAATTCACGTATATAAATATGAGTTGAGTTTCGATCGATATGTTCTAAAAAAGTGTAGAAGTCTTGTCCATCGTATAGACGAATAATCGTACAGAAAGTTAAATTATCACGTAGGGGAACAGTTTTATTGCAATCACAAATCGGATCATTCACACAATAGCATTCGTAACAATGTAGTTGACCAGGTTCGCCTATATTTGCTTGATTAAATATTTCTGTAATATTACCTAGATTGACAATAAGGTCTTGTTTAATCTCTTGAAAAATATCTGGACGTGAACAATTATCAACCTGACAATAAATATTTACTTCCCATAGTTCAGCATGTGTTGGTTGATTTGCATATAGAATACCTTCGATTTTTACAAGATTGCTATCATAGGTCAATTTCTCAGAATTCTCCGACACACAATATGATTGATAACATTGTTGATTATCTATTAGATTATTATATGTATTGGAAACGCGACACGTGGTAGTACAAGGTTGGACAGGACACGAATCGCCATCGATTGTTTGATTTAAACTACATATTGAAGCATTAGCACATTCATGACAAGAAAATGTTGATTCTCCAGTACCTAATATACTTGAGTTTAACCATGATTCTGGAAGAGTCATTTGCAAACTGGATGGTAATAATGGAAGAAGTGCTGGTCTATTACAATAATCCCAATCACATCCGTATACAACTTCATTGGTTCTAGTCAACCATTTACCAGTTTCATTATTATATATAATTGATTCTGAAACAAGGATATATGGAAAATCACGAATATTTAAATACGATGAATCAGTTTCAAGATGACTAAAATAGATATAAACATTTTCACCATCATAAGTACGCGTTATTGTACAATAGGTAGGATCATCCATCACCGATGAAACAGTATTACATTCACAATTAACTTCTCCTTCACAAAAGCAATCAAAACATCGAAATGTTGGTGGTTCAGCTGTTTGATTAAATATAGCTGTTATATCACCTGGTTGAACAATAAGATTTTCTCGAAGTTCTTTAAAGGTTTCTGGATTTGAACAATCATCTGCTCGGCAATAGAGATCCGTTTCCCATAACTCAACATTTGTAGGACGACTAGAATATAAAATACCTTTGAGTTGTACACGATGTTTATCAATTTCAAAATCTGGCTGATCAGGTGCAGCACAATATGAGTCATAGCATTGATCAATACTTGCTGGATCTGTATATTTACTAGAAACAAGACAAGTGGTATTGCATGGTAAAATAGGACATTGAGAACCATTAATAAATCCAATATTGCTACATACGGGACCACTTGGACATATATGACAGTTACGTGTTGGCTGCCCAGTACCTAGTATACTAGAATTTAACCATAGTTCAGGCAGACGCATTAGAAAAGTAGATGGTAAATAAGGAATAAGTTCCGGTTTGTTACATAAATTCCAATTACATCCATACATAACAGATTCAATTCTAGTATCCCATCGACCTGTTGTTTCTTGGTAAATAATTGATTCTTCAATTAATACAAAAGGATAATCACGAATATAAACATATGTTGAGTTAATATTAATATGTCCAAAATTAATATGTACATCTTGTGCTTTAAATTTACGTTCAAGATAACAATAGGTATTATCTGCTGAACTTATTTCAAAGGTTGTGCAAGGGCATGTCGTTCCAGTACATGAACAATTATAACAAGAAAGAGAACGAATCGGTAAAGTTGACGTTGTTGTTAATGGTCGTGGTGTGGTTGTAGGACGAGCAATTGGAAAATATGTTAAATTACTCATATCATCTTTAATTTGTGCTTTAATTTCTTGAAAAATACTTGAACGACTACAATTATCAACGCCACAATTGATACTTAATTGCCAAATTTCCAAATCTGAACGATCTAGTGATAAATAAACAACGGCTTGAATTAGAACTTGATATTTTTCACTGTCGTCATCAAATTCATCTACCAGTGATGATTGTGTACATTCAGAATAATAGCAGGATTCATCTGTTTCAATATTATGCCATAAACTATAGACTAAACACTAAAAAAATGAAGATTTTTTATTTTATTTTAAAATGTAACATTTCAACCTAAATACTCACCGTAGTCGAATTATCACATGATGTAAACGTACATTGATCATAATCGATAGATTGTGTTTGATTGCCACATGTTTCATTTGTGCATGTGTGACAACTAGTAGCTACCCCAGTACCGAAAATATTTGTTGTAAGCCATTCTTCATCAATGTCTAATTTAAGTGAATTCGGCAAGATAGAAATCAATGAATATTCATTACAGTAATCCCAATCACATCCATAAGTCATTTCTATTATTTTTATTTCCCATTTATTGGTTGTCTCATTATAAAAAATTGCTTCATCGACTTGAATATAATAAGGATCTTTTATTCCAGTGTATAAAAAACTCTCAGAATTATGGGCTAATTCTACGTATGGCTCTGATGAATGGAAATTTTCAACGATCGTACAAAATGAACCTTCTCCAACATCAGTTGTGCTAAGACAATTACAAGTAGATATATCAGAAGGTAAACACCAACAATCATAACAAATAAGACTAGTGCTCGGTACTATCCATAGTACTAATAAAAGAAATATCCATTGAATAATCATTTTCATCAATGGATAGAAAGTGACTTACACTTGTATTATTTAAAATGAGCTAAGAAACAAATATTACAGACATTTATATACCTGTTTTACTGCTTCTTTGCGTAGTTTTTCAATATATAAAACCATAAAATGTTTCTACCTGTTTGACCAAGACCGGTAATAATAAAATCATATAATACTTTCCGCGAGATAAGCCAGCCATTCTGAAAGTACGAACAGTAAAAGATTTATTTCGTATTAATCTTATTGAAACAGATAGGCATGCCATAAAATGCAGAAATTATTACTTTCTCTCTGATATAAGGGTAATATTTGCAATAAGCAGTTTACATCGAATTATAATGTCGTAAAAATAAGATAGACTATCGAGACAGTTTCAGCTAATTCAAGTAAAAAAACTTTTCTACATTACCATTAAACTATTAATTCAGATAATAAGAATAAAATAAATGTGGAAACTTCGGATTTCATCCGAGAGTTATGTGCAATGCAAAAAGTGCATGGAACATATGAGTCATTCTAGAATGTCTGAACTCCAAAATTATCATGAGAAACTAGACAATTTGATTTCTGGATGCAGTTTTTGTGCATTTTGAGACGTTTTTCAGGCGATGTTTCGTTACAAAGCTACGATTTGGTTCAAAACTAATATCAGATTCGGAATCAGCGTTAAAAACTGAGTCGATTTATATATGTTGTAAATAATTCTGAGGAAAATTTGTTTTTTGAAAAAAAAATACCAGTATTCCCCCTCAGGGAAGGNGGATCCTTCTCATCTTCGAACTCGACCGAGATATTCATGAGATTGAACTGTGTGGAAAATTTCATCACGATCTGACTCTCCTTTCGAAAGTTATCGTGCCTACGGCCGGACGGACACACTGACCGATTCTAGAGTGTACTCACTTTTTGAGTACACAAAAAGGACGAAATCTATGCGATTATTTAAGGGTAGTATTGAATTAAAGTTCACAAGAGTCATTTTTCATTTTAATTAAACTTCTAAAATTTTACTTCAATTTGTTATAATTATGATGATTTCATTTAGTTCAATATATTATTGACAATGTGGAAAATTTTGTGAGGATTCAATTTTATGCATGGTGTGCGTATGAACTAAACGAATCAACAGTTAAAATATTATTGTTTTTGAAACTGAGTTTTTTTATGAAGAAGTTATTTTTAAACTAATCAGAAGTTCATATAAGAATTTAGAATTTAAGCAAACTTCAGAGCAACAGCATACGCATCTATTTTATTGCCAAAAATGTAGATGTTTCAAATAAATTTAATATGGAATTTTTATGTGTTTGTAGCATAGATGTCCATGGCGGCTCGATAGTGGTACCGTTTTTAAAATCTCATCGCGATAGCGGGGTGGCAGTGGCAGATTTTCAGTCGTGATGAAAATCTCTAGACCCTATAAAAAAAGAATGAATCTACTGTTTTTCGAAAGAATTTTTGTTATTTCTCATCTCTTTTTACATTAGTATTTCATCAAACAGGAATTATTAACTCTATATCATACATATTACCTATTTTTGTAAAAAAAATAGATTTTATATAATTTTTAATGCAGCAGCACTGACTCTGTTCTTTATATGTGGCATCGCGGTAGCGGCAGATTTTCACCAGCGATGGACATTTATGGTTTGTAGGTAGGGGTGCACCAATTCCAATTTGAGTCAATTCAATTCCTAAAATTGGTCGGAATTGGTCGGAATTGGTCTGGAATCGGTATAGAATTGGCTCTAAATGAGTGTAGAATTAACTGAAATCGATGGTACAATTGATTATTCTTGACTAGCAAGTGCTTGAATTTGTCAAAAATGAAATAAAAAAAATGAGACGCATCAGNGCACTGATTCCAAATATGTTATTAATTATGACTCGAATTATAGCTTTTACGGTAAAAATCTCAATTTTCAGATGTAAGGCCTGATGCGTCTCATTTTCTTTATTTCATTTTTGACAAATTCAAGCACTTGCTAGTCAAGAATAATCAATTGTACCATCGATTTCAGTTAATTCTACACTCATTTAGAGCCAATTCTATACCGATTCCAGACCAATTCCAACCAATTCCAAACCAATTCCGACCAATTCCAAGACAAGAATTGGAATTGGAATTGGTGCATCCCTATTTGTAGGTTGATATTTGAAAAGCATTATTCATACTATTATTCATCCAAACTTGCAAGGAAACATATATTGCTTAAGACACTAATATAAGTAAAGATTTTCTGAAATAAAAGAATTTGACATTCATACTTAAGACAGACCCAATTTTGAGAAGACTACTGTCACAAAAGTAAAATTGGTACGCCCTTCTCAAGATATATCACCTAGTAAAAGCACTAATTTATACGTACCCGCTAATGTAACATTTTTCGTATTAATAAAAACCTTCGATTAGTTTTAATATTTCAAATTCTCGAATGCTAGAAGTATTAGTGCGAATCATAATTAGAGAATTTTTGTACAAAAAGATCCATGCATTGTATTGGACAGATAGAAAGTAGATACACAATCAATAAAACTATGTTATATATTCTTATCGGACAGATAAAACGAACTGATGACAAAATTTTCAGTTTAATGTTAATATCGAATTTATTGAAAGTAAAAAAAAAAAGAAACGTTATCCGTGGAAAAAAGCTAATAGAATTAATTTAAGGCACATGCCATATTGATCATCCAATGGATGAAGCTTATGAAAAATCATTAGTTAATAAAAATCAATATGAGTATAGCAACTAGCACGGAACTAAATAAACTGATGCTATTAAACACCGGTGCATTTGAAGTTGTGGTTGGGGCTGCTGTCTGACCCGTTGTTGTCGCAGTAGCTGGTTGAGCCGTTGTTGATAACCCTTCAAATGCAGATAAATCACCTACATCCAATGTCAATTGAGCTTCCAACTGAAATAAACAATTATGTTGCACTAGTTCCTATTTCACCAGATTTCAAATACTTACTTCTTTGAATATTTCTGGTCGAGAGCAATCATCAGCACGGCAAAAAATATCAACTTCCCATAACTCAACGGTACGTGGTACTTTATCAATATATAGTATACCCTCGAGTTCTACTCGGTGTGGATCTATTTCGAAAAACTCTGAATCAGGTGGAGCACAAAACGATTGATAACATAATTCATCCTGTCCTGGGTCATCATATGTATCGGCAACAAGACAAGTCGTATTGCATGATTTAATTGGGCATCGACTAGCATCAAGAAACTCATCTGTGCCACATTGAGGCGCATCGGGACATTCATGACAATCGCGCACTGGCTGACCATTTCCATAAACATTAGTATTTAGCCATGCTTCAGGAAGGCGCATTTGAAATGAGCGTGGAAGATATGGTGCTAGCTTAGGATCATTACATAAATCCCAGTCACATCCAAAAATAACAAAATTTGTTACTGTATTCCATACTTCTGTATTGTCATTGTAACGAATGGTTTCCTCGGACACTAAATATGGAAAATCAATAATACTAACACGAGTTGAATCGTCATAAATATGTCCCATAGTGATCCAATAATCTTGACCATAATTTTCACGTATAATTAAACAATAAGTTAAATCTGCATTCATTAGCGTACTTCTTGTGCACTCACAATTGGGCTCGTTATAGCAATAGCAATCATAACATCGTCGCTGTGGTACACTTGGATCATGAGTCTCATTGAACAGAGCACTAAGAGTGCCAGGTTGTACAATTAATTGATCTTTTAGCTCTTTGAATATTTCAGGACGTGAACAATCGTCAGCTCGACAATAAAGATCTATTTCCCATATTTTCACAACTGTTGGTTCATTAGCGTAGATAATTCCTTCGATTTCCACGCGGTTATGATAGATATTATATTCATCAGCTTCAGGTGGAATACAAAATGATTGATAACATAATAAATCATCAGCTGGATCATTAAATACATCCAAAACAAGACAAGTCGTATTGCATGATTTAATTGGACATCTACTAGCATCGAGAAATTCCGTTGTACCACATTGAGCAGCTTCCGGACATTCGTGACAATCACGTACTGGCGCACCAGTACCTAAAATATTTGTATTGAGCCATGGTTCTGGTAGACGCATTTGAAAACTGCTAGGTAGAAGTGGTAGAAGTGCAGGTTTATTGCATAGATTCCAATTGCATCCATAAACAACATAATCTGTTGTGGTAAGCCATCGAACACCTTGTTCATCATAAGCAATGGTTTCTTCAACAAGAACGAACGGAGCTTCCAGAATATATACATAAGATGAATCAGTTTCAATATAACCTAAATTGATAAAAACCTCTTGACCAATATTTTCTCGTGCAACAATACAATAGGTCTCATCCAAAGATGTAACCACAGTTGATGTACATGTACATGTTGTTGTACCAATACATGCACAATTGTAACATGTAAGAGGATTTTCTATAGGTGTACTTGTAGTTGGTGGTGCTTGAGTTGTAGTTGGTCGAACAGGTGGAAAAGGAGCTAGATCAACAGTATCATAGTAAAGCACGTCTATTATTTCTTCAAAAATAGTTGGTCGAGAACAATTAACAGCGCCACAATAAACATCGATCTCCCAAATGTCATAATTAAAACGATCTTGTTGTAAATAGACCACACCTTCGATATCAAGTCTGTATTTACCACCATAAGTTTCAGCAAATTCACCATCTAAGTACGCTGGGGCACATTGTGATTCAAAACATTGTGAGCCTCCGTCGAAATCACTCCACAAATCATATACTAAACACTAAAAAACAGAAAAAGAAACTTGATAGTTTCGGAAAAATAATGAAATGATTAGTTTCATTATTGGTCATTTCATATTACCGTCGTAACATTAACACAAGGTGTCAGTGGACATTGAGTGAAATTCAAAGGATTTGCTGGATCACCACACGTTTCAAAGGCGCAAGTATGACACGCAGAAAGATTACCTGTACCATAAATATTTGTATCTAACCAAGTCTTCTCAATAGTAAATTTGAATGAACTAGGTAACGCATCGATCAGATTTGGACTATTACAATAATCCCAATCACATCCGAATAGAGCACCGGTTGTAACTAAATTCCAATCTGATGTGGTTTTATTATATCTAATAGATTCTTGCATAAGAATGTAGTAAGGATCTTCAATGTAAATATACGTTGAGTTGCGTGGAATTCGACTTAATTGAATATTTATTTCATCCGTAAATCTTTGTTCAGCGATAACACAATAATCATTTCCAAATAATTCACTTGTTTCGTCACAATGGCATGCAGATAGATCAGGCTGACTACATGAACACTCATAGCAAATAAGACTATAACTAGGTACTACTGCTAGAATTAATAGCAGAACAACACCGCGTACGAGCATTATTCTTAGCAAGGGATTACAAGCAATATTAAATGACTTTCGCCTGTTTTTAAAGGAGAATGTTTTATAGAGTTGCCCGGCTTTTCTTTCTTTATCTTTGAATAGATAATAAAATCATAAAGATCGGCGTTGACAAATTGTATAACCTAAGCATTAAAAGATCATATAATAATCATTTAAAACAATTGTAAAAAAAGAAAAATAATCATCGGAAATTATCTCTTAGTTACCGTAACAACAATATAAATTTTACAAGTAGCAATAATACACTATTATAATGTACGAAGTCTATTGACTTTGTATGTCGTTAGACATATATTTTTCACTGTAAATTGAATACAAAATAATATGAAATAACTCATATATACTACTAAAAATAGCTTGATATCGTCCATTCTGTAAGGCAAAAAAGTTTCCACAATTCAAAGTCCTTGAAAAAAGGCCGAAAAACTGCAANATTTTTTTTCGGCCATTAACAAACGAATAGTGTTAGTTGTTCATGTACGGAAGTATTGGAATTTGTTTTTGTCAAATTGTTTTTCATCCATAATCTCGTGTGAAAATCAATATTTTATAAATAGCTAATATTTATAAGGCTGAATTGTTCGTTATATTTTTACTTCAGAAAATAAGACACAAACATTTTTCTTTTGAATTATTCAATAAAGCACTGATAGAAACTATTACAACGATTTACAGCTAACAACTATGTGTATTCTTTCAAACAACAGCACAATTTTATTATATTCACATTGTGAAGATTAATATTGCTTTTCTGGACTACTTACAATCCATCTATTACATGTTATCTCTTTATTACCAACATAATAAAATTTATTTAGAGTCATTGACAAAGTAAAATCGCTATTAATCTTTATCATTATATGGCTAACCATGATAAGTCCTGCACGGATTCAATATAAAATTTTAGAATACTATCATATAGTTGCCTTTTAATATTTTTGCTTTATTAAGTCGCATGCTAAAAAAACTAATAAATTTCTATAATCTAATTAATAATGTTTTTGAAAATATGTGTTATCAAAAATATAAGCATAGATCACAACATATTTTATTGACTTGAAAAATAAACTTTATACTGAATGATGGTTGCTAGCAATATATGTTATTGCTTCACTATGAATTTATGATCGACGAGATGTAAAAGGTTTATTTTTACTTTTATCAGTACGTTTAGTAGTTTTACAAAGTTCTGATGAATTTGTCTCTTTGACGAATACTAATTTGCATGCATCATTGTGTGCAACACACCCGGTTGGCGGTACGACTTTGCCAGAAGCAAAACCAAATCCACAACATGTCATCGAAGTTTTTGTACATTTACATTCGAGGCAATCAGGAAAGGGTAATTTAAATGAAGAACCAGATAAAACTTTCATACTTCCAAATGTACATTGTGTATCAGCAGTGCCATATTCTAAAGTACATCAGAAAAATCATATTGTTTTATTCAATAATAAAATAAAATATCGCACTTGTAGTCTGTGCTATAACTTGTCCTTGAAAACATTCTGAAGTAACACAAGCTGTAAAAATGATAATTAAAAGTATAAAGAAAAGAAAATTATGACACAACATTCTTAGCGATTGTTTTTTGTTTGCAAATAGACGACAGATATTAATCGAATATTGGATAGAAAAAAAGAAGTGGCACACATATATATAGGTAAACATACAACAAATCATCTTTTGGAATATCTACTGTTCAGCCATCGTGGCATCGTGTAACTGACAGCAAGTCTGGTTTCATAAATAACATAAGTGAAAATAATATATATTGTATATAATTAAAAGTGCTGATGATGTGGCATGGCTTGTTTTTCCTTGCTTGCTGTTATACATAATTATGGCTTATTCTCCATTAGAATGTTTTCCGATCTTTCACCTAAATAATCGATGTTTATTCTCAGAATATGTACTTGTGTTAGGCATGCACATAAATAGCAAAATCATGTTGACTTTAAGCATAGAATGTTGCCAATCATTGACACTTACGCTTAGATATCTTTGAATGTAGTACACTATTACTGATTACAATGTTATTTCAAATCATTTCGTTTTCTTTTTTGGATAATGCCTTAGTCCGTACTTTTTTCAGAATAACGTTTTTTCAATGACATTCATATAATCAGAGAAATCCGTTCGGCAGGTTGATTGTTTTTTGTATAGGAAATATCGTATTCAGTTTTTTAGATGATGCGTACCTTTTATAATTAAAAAGAAACGAAATTTATTGATTAAGACTAGTCTCTTTTGAAGAATTACAATTATTTTATCATTTAAATGAATATTCACTTTCTCCGAGTATTCAAAATATAAGAGCAGTTTATTTGCTAGAATGAGTATTTGTTTGCTTCAATAAAATATAGAACATAACGAAATTTTTTTATTTCCTCTAGAAACTTCGTAAAAGTTGCGTAAGTCTCTGAAATTTTTTTGTTATGTTTATTAACTCATTCAAAGAGTATATCGAAACAATGCAAAATAACTTTCATCTACCGAAGAAGACAACGTTCAGGAATACACTTTAACGCTTCGAACCAATTGTTATTATTGTGTTTGAGTGTCATTAATATATTATAGACTTGATTAAGCGACAAAACAGGACTTGCAGTAGTTGAAAATCTATATAAATAATGAAAATAAATTTAACTGTTATATGTTATCAGTAGAGTTTACTTCAGATATTTTTGAAGTGGTAAAGATTGATGTCGGATATGTTCATGTTCAGCTTTCTCTAAAGTCAGGTGTTCATGTTTTGCTTAAGTAAAACAATATATTACGATAAGTAACAGCAGCTCGATAAAAAAAAAGAAGGAAGTAGTTTACTTTTTTCAAATATTCCACCAAGTACATAAATAACATTATGTTCATATTCAGTCATTATGTTCGGTGAATCAGGTGACAAATAGACAAGTTGTTCTCGAGGAAATAAGTCAAGATAGGAAAGAGATGTGACATGACAATAAGGACTAGTTTGCAACCATTTATCGTTGTTATTCGAAATAATATTACATAAAATAATAAACGATGGTGAATGATAACGATAGAGAGAAGTAAAGCATGAATGAATTTTTAATTGAAGTCTTTCATAATAATTTCCAAGTGAAATATCACTTTCCTTGTATTCATGAATAAATGAGCAATCAATAACTATATAATCATCAAGACGAGAAGCAACAAATAATTTCGCTTGACGCACTTGCCGTTGCAGGTTAAATAAATGTTCAGGACAACGAAAAAAATGTAAATAATGAATGGATGATGACCATCGCCACCATATACGATAGCGGTGTCGAAAAAGCATAAAAATTAACAATCTGATAAATAGAGTTGAATACACAGCTTTTATTTACATTTCGTTCCATATCGGAAAAAATGTTGACTAGAAAAAAGAAAACTATAATAAGGAAAACAAAATCTGAAAATTAAAACTATTGAATAAAATAATGTTGCTATTCACTTCTTTTTTTCTCAAAATATCGATTGGTAACAACGAATAGTCAAATAATGTAATAACCGTAAGAGTTCACTAGTTGTTAGAATAATTCTGTATTAATTTGTTTTCCGATAAACTCCATTGTTTAGATGTTTGATTGAAAATATCACGCAAGGTGAGCATTCAATTAGAAAAATATTGAAAAGAATTACGAAAATGAAGACTGTCAAATCGGCAAAAGTCGAAATCAAATCATTGATAAACATGATGTTTTTTGATTATATGAAGGAAAAGAATAATTTTATTTGATAGAAATAAAAGCAATAACTTGGGTTATTATTCTCATTTCCGTTTTTTTTTTCACCCATGTATTTATGCTGATGTATGTAATAGATACATTGTGGTGTTTTTTTTAAAGTGCTAATGCTTGGATTCTATCATAATTTTCTAAACGCATTTCATAAGCTCTAATAAATGTGTTGACAGTGCCAATGTAGAAATAAATGTGGCTCTTGATGTCACGAATCGAGTACTCATTTTACAATGAGCTGAAATATTATTCTTTACAGTGTTTTTTTTCCCCATAACTATAAAAGAAAGAATCTTTTCACTATCACTAGATAGTCACGGATACCGATCGACCGACCATTTATACCTCTATTCCGACTTTTCAATATTTGTGTAGGAAGATGAGCTTGAAGAGGCGAAAACGAAATAGATTGCGACTCCATATCTAGTACAATGTTAACCGAATTTAATAACGAATTGGTTTTGTGTATTAAATAATAGAGATGCATCGATTATATTCATGCCAACCCTAAAATAGCATTCAGTTATTTGTGTTGATATAATGCAAACTTCATTACATTTTAAGGTTAGACAGAGTTTTGAAAATAAATTTGTAGAATAAGAGAATGTTACATTTGTTCGTTGATATAAATATTATAAAACATATATATCTTCTAAGCTATACAATATTTCATTAGTCTTCCTATTCCTGTATATTACAACCGGATGTTTAAAAAATGATTGAAAGTTCTTCGTAGGTTAGCGACAACTTCAATCATTTTTACTCTCCTTTCCTGTGCTTCTTTTATTTTCAACTACGATGTTTAAAATGAATCACTTTCTTATCTTTTTTCATTCATGTGACTGAAGCGCAGATGCAGCTTTCGCTTTGTATATTATTTTATTCAAGAGTAGAGATTCTTGACGTTTCATTTGAACTTGACCCTCATCATATATCACTCAAAACCTAATGGCGACATTTACAGATAATGACAAATATGTTCTAAATGCGATTTTCAATCCAAATTATCCCCTAGATTTTGATAAAGAACCACCATCATCATCATCAGATTCGATTGATTTAGAAAATGCAAGTAAGAAATTCTTTCTGATATTATATTTTATGGTGTTACGTTTGCTTTTCGTCTATTTGACTTTTAGAGCAATCTCTAGAAATAAAAAAATTAGAAGAAGAAGGTATATTGTAAATATCGAATCATATTTACGCTCGAAATTTATTTTCTTTTACTTAGGAGTACGATTAGCTGAGCAAAATCATTTAATCGAGGCTATTGAACATTTTAGTCGAGCTATTGCATTGAATCCTCAGAATCCATCGGCTTACAATAATCGAGCTCAAGCGTACCAGTTACTAAGTAAAACTGATGGTAAGTTAGATTATTTGCTACATAATTTTAGTAGTATATTTTTGTTTTCAGAAGCTATGGTTGACTTGAGTACAGCTATTGATTTAACTTCGAATGGAAAAAATAATCAGAAAATTTTATCCTTAGCATTAACACAACGCGGAGTTCTGCATCGACTCTTGGGTACGACTAAAACGGCATCCTTTTGCTTTATGTTCAATCCTTGTCTCATTTAGGTGATGAAAAAGCATCCTTAGATGATTTTACTCAAGCAGCTGAACTTGGTTCAGCATTTGCTAAACAACAAATACTTTTGTTAAATCCGTATGCAGCTGCATGCAATCAAATGCTTTCGAAAATGATGAAAAAAATGTCTTGCACATCATAACTTATTCACGTTCATGATTATTTATATTCCTTAACGAACTGTTTTGCTCGTTATGCTGTTGGGAAACAATAAAATTATATTGTCTTAGCTCATTTTTCTTTGACACCGTTACTACTGATATGCAAATGCTTAGTTCGATTAATTTTTCTGAAGGGTGTCCAAGGACTGAGGTATGGGATTTCTTCCGATTCATCCGAACATCAGCAATAAACAGGAAGGCACTAGAGGAATTAGCGATTGCCCCACAAACGCTACTTGAATCCTTCTCAATACCAAGACATATTCCTAACGAACACCGCACCATTCGACACCTTCTCCGAAAGACACTACACAATTACTCAATTCCTCCAGTAGGGATTGCCTACCATCGATCTAGCACACAAACTTCTCAGGTAAAAACTAGAAACCGATGACAATCCCTCAACAAAGGATTTATGTGTACAAACGCGACAGTAGTGAAAAACATTAGGAAATGACTACCAATCGTATATACAACAATACCTATTCAAGACTAACCTGCGATTCTTATCGAAAATCTCACAATGACAATACCATGCTTCTAACCAAGTTACCTAATAAGGACTCATCCGACATCCTTCTAGTAACTGCCCAGGTTCAAGAAAATGGTGCGTACATGACCGTAAAAACGGCGCCGTTTTCCGTCAGCTCGGAAAACGACAAATATACTGTTAAAAACGATGCCCGTTTTTTAGCGGAAAAACGGTCCGTAAAACGAGCTGGCGGATTACGGCGAAAATGAACGCCTTATTATACCATTTTATAGCCGTTTCAGACCTGTTAAGATGACCGTTCCGACAGTCGGAATGATTGTTCCGGGTTGGAAACTGCTGTTTCTCACATCAGTATTCTAATTTATCCTGGATCCAGAAAAGTACCGGGGAACCAAGTAATTATAATAGTTCTGCTGATAGTACCCAGGGACCGATCCTACTACCATCCAGGAATTCATCCCCACTTCCATCGAGTTACTAGGAAAGTGTAGGCGACCAATATCGATTACATTGTTACTCGAAGCAAATATTGGTTGATACCTTGACGGTAGTAGGGTCAGTCCTTGGGCACTATCAGCAGAACTACTATAATTCTTCAGTTCCCCGGCGTCTTCTATTATCGAGAAAGATTGTCAACATGTATTCGTTGAGTGTCGGTCTCCCAGACACAGACACTGGATGGGAGAGGGAGTGTTTCCCTTCAGAGTAAATAGGTCAGTTGCTAGGTGCTGTCAATGGAACTAGTATAGTTCAAATTTTTCGGTTTTGCGCATTGCTTGGTGTATAGTAGCCAGGTACATGTGCTGTGGAATTGAGTTTTCAATGTCAGTTTCCTTCGCTGGGGGAGAGAATCAGTTCTGGATGTTTCTTTGGTTGTCCGGATAGTGATGATTTTCTGAGCTATCGTAAGGATGTCTGGGGGTGAATGTGAAGGATGTTTAGGTTGGGCATTGTTACGGTTTTCAAATTTTGGTGGGTATATAATGTGAAGAGATGGATAGAGGAATGAATTAGGATATGTGATTGTTTCGTTGATCAATTCTTGTTTCCTGGAAGTTATTATTTCTTTTGACTGGGACTTCTAGGTATCGGACGAATTCCTAAACTTCAGTCATTGGACACTACTGATCTTTCTAGAGAATGTTATTTTAAAATTCATCAAGTTTTGTTTAATTCGAAAAATTATTTTTCAAAATTACTAGCAAATTCTAGCACATGGATTATTTACAAAACATTTTCTCTTTTAATTATAATATCATAAGAAAAAGAAAAGCAATGCAACGAATCTTCTGAGTGCACACAAAAGCCTATTGAGTATATTGATCTTAATTCGTTATAGATTGATTCGAAATTTTTCTCAGTATTTAAATTATAAAATTGCAGCAAGAAAAGCAAACAATATATTGATTTAACATTTGATAAATATCATTTATATCTAAGAAAAGAAAGTTCATTCTCTTCCTTGCTTATCATCTTTTAAAAAAGAATCCAAGGCCATCGTATCGTTGACATGGCAAAAAAAGAAACAAAGGCATCTACATCAGAATCCTCTCTCCGGATTATAATTTTCTTTTCAAAAAATATATGAAAGAAAAAAAAACTAAACCAAATATTTTGAACACGATTTTATAAATTCATTTTTCTTCCAACTTTTTCCAAATACGTCACAATATGCACACTAGGTCTTTTTCATTAGGTAGTTTCCAACCAGTGACTTTCTGCATAGTGACTCTATCGATGAGTAATATGCATCCTATTATATAGAAGAAGGAAGAAATAGAAAGAAAGAAAGAAAGAAAAACGAACAAGGGCAAAGCACAGCAGAGCAGAGCATTATTTCTTTTTCTCGTTGTTCTCGATCTTTCTCGATTCTTCTAGTCTTCTCTCCAGATTTCATATAAGTAGTAGGTTAAGCTTGCATTTTACTTGCATTTCTTTCCTCGAAATTCATCGTACACATTAAATCTTCATCAAACTCAATTGTGCTTTTTGCTACAATGACTGACAAAATGGAACAAGATGCTGGTGATGCTGAAACATTCGCTTTTCAAGCTGAAATTGCTCAATTAATGTCTTTAATTATCAATACATTTTATTCGAATAAAGAAATTTTTCTTCGTGAACTTATTTCCAATTCATCTGATGCTTTGGATAAAATTCGTTATGAATCTCTTACTGATTCAACTAAACTTGATACTGGAAAAGAATTATTTATTAAAATGATACCGGACAAAGCAAGTAATACATTAACCATCATTGATACCGGTATTGGTATGACAAAGGTAGGCATTTATATAACAAGGAAAAATTTATCTTCAAAGCAAATTTTAACAATTATTTTATTTTCTAGGCCGATCTCGTTAATAACTTGGGTACCATTGCTCGATCAGGTACTCGCGCTTTTATGGAGGCGCTTCAAGCCGGTGCTGATATTTCCATGATTGGTCAATTCGGTGTTGGTTTTTATTCATCATATTTAGTAGCTGATAGAGTAGTAGTTACATCGAAACATAACGATGATGAACAATATGTATGGGAATCCAGTGCTGGTGGTTCATTTATCATCAAACGAGATACAACTGGTGAACCACTTAATCGTGGTACAAAAATTGTTATGTATCTTAAAGAAGATCAGACTGAATATCTTGAAGAAAAACGCATTAAAGAAGTCATTAAGAAACATTCACAATTCATTGGTTATCCAATTAAATTACTTGTGCAAAAAGAACGAGAAAAAGAAATTTCCGATGATGAAGCAGAAGATGAAAAGAAAGAAGAAAAGAAAGCTGAAGACGAAACTAAAAAAGATGAAACTAAAGTTGAAGAAATCGATGAAGACGAAGACGATGACAAGAAGAAAGATGTCGATAAGAAAAAGAAGAAGAAAATAAAAGAAAAATACACTGACGAAGAAGAACTTAACAAACAAAAACCAATTTGGACACGAAATCCTGAAGATATTTCAACTGAAGAATATGCTGAATTTTATAAACAATTAACAAATGACTGGGAAGATCATTTGGCTGTGAAGCACTTCAATGTTGAAGGTCAACTTGAATTTCGAGCTTTATTATTTATTCCAAAACGTGCACCATTTGATTTATTTGAAAATCGCAAAACAAAAAATTCAATTAAATTATACGTTCGTCGTGTATTTATTATGGAAAATTGTGAAGAATTAATGCCTGAATATTTGAATTTCATTAAAGGTGTTGTTGATTCAGAAGATTTACCATTGAATATTTCTCGTGAAACGTTACAACAAAATAAAATTCTTAAAGTGATTAGAAAAAATTTAGTCAAAAAATGTGTAGAACTGATGGAAGAAATAGCTGAAGATAAAGAATCGTTCAAGAAATTTTATGAACAATTCTCACGTAATTTGAAGCTTGGCATTCATGAAGACTCAGCAAATCGTTCGAAAATCGCTAGTTTCTTACGTTATCATTCATCAACATCCGGCGATGAATTAACATCGTTGAAAGACTATGTATCACGAATGAAAGAAAATCAAAAAGACATTTATTACATTACGGGTGAATCTCGACAAATTGTTGATCAATCTTCATTTGTTGAACGCATACGTAAACGTGGTTTTGAAATCATCTACATGACTGAACCAATTGATGAATATTGCGTACAACAATTGAAAGAATTCGATGGCAAAACACTTGTTTCTGTCACCAAAGAAGGTTTAGAATTACCAGAAGATGAAGAAGAAAAGAAGAAGTATGTTAAATTAGATTTCGATCTTATTAAATAATAAGTTTTTTCTTTCTAGACGAGAACAAGACAAAGAAAAATATGAAACATTATGCAAAGTAATGAAAGATATTTTGGACAAGAAAATCGAAAAAGTTGTTGTTAGCAATCGACTTGTTTCATCACCATGTTGTGTTGGTAAGTTTTCAAATGCGATTATTTAGTTTATTTTTTGTATGTCTAATTTGTTATTGTATCTCTAGTTACATCACAATATGGTTGGTCAGCATCTATGGAACGTATCATGAAAGCTCAAGCTTTACGTGATACATCAACCATGGGTTATATGGCTGCTAAAAAACATCTTGAAATCAATCCTGATCATTCAATCATCAAGACGCTCAAATTAAAAGTTGATCAAGATAAAAATGATAAATCCGTTAAAGATTTAGTTACTTTATTATATGAAACATCATTGTTAGCCAGTGGTTTTACTCTTGAATTACCACAACAACATTCAGATCGTATATTCCGCATGATTAAACTCGGCTTAGGTATTGATGAAGACGATGCTGTTGAAAGTGGAACAGCTGCTGGAGATTCAACTGCAAACATGCCACCACTTGAAGCAACTGGAGAGAATGCGGCTGCTGTTTCAGCTGAAGCTTCTCGCATGGAAGAAGTTGATTAAACAAACGCAGAACAACGAACATTACCTTTTCAACTTTTTTTGTTCTGTTCGTATTTTATTGTTTTTCTGTCAGGGTTACTAGTTATACGTTCGTTTTATTCAGAGTCAAATAATGATATGGATGAATTTGAAAAAAAAAGTCAATAAAGAAGCAATTCAAATCACTTCTGAATCAAGATCAATGTCAAATCTATATTCTTTTCTTCTATTGAAATCAATGAAATGTAGAAATATCATCATGACTTTTTAAAAATAGAATCCATACATTCGAAAATATTAAGCTCGGATAGATTCTTTGTGACAATCAAGTATGAAATACAATTGATAGCCAGGGAGGGCGTAGTGGTTCTATGCATCTGATTTAGTCAGATAGCAGAAGGTTCGTTTCCTTTCCCTAGCACGATGCTTTAGTTTCAAAGATATTCGATAAGGGAAGAATAGTCAAGAAAGAAAAAAGAATTCAATACACGTGGATTCGTCATCACTGCCTCTCCAGTTTGTTTGTTTTCTGTTCTTTGTATTCTATTCTCTATATGTTATCGTTATCTTTCTCTCTCGTAAGCGTCCGAAAAAGCTGTACTAAAAATCATAAAAAAGATAGAATGTCACGAATAAATAGAGCCAAATTAAAACAAATACAATCGATGTGTAGTTGCGTAATTTAAATTGAAGATGATGAAGAAATATTTCTATGAATGCGCAAGAAAGAAACCAAATACATAAGGAAAAAAGTTACTGAAATTGTAATGTAAGATTTTTTTTCTAGCAAAAGAATTTAATTATCGTTCAAAATAATCTTTTGATAAACTTCACTTTCATAATTAAGCCGGCCTAAGCCTAGAATTATATGACGGCGAAACAAACTTCTTTGCCATATAATTAATAAAAGTCTTTGTATGGAGTAGCTCACAATTGGAATTTTATTACAAAATATCACTTATGGGTATATCACTTGTGTAGTTCTCTAGGTAAAATACTACAAAAACATTCATAAAAGAAATAAGGAAGTTCTTTTTTTAATTTTTTATAACATTAAATCTCCAGATCTAGTTTTAATTTTAACGTAATTATAAATATTAGGAAGGAAGTAGATAAATATTTATTAAGACAAATCTGTAGTACTGATGTTTGCAACTACCGATTTGTATTTAAATTATTTATAATCATTTACAATTTCATTAGGAACTAGTTCTTTTGCTAGCATTACAACTTGAATTAAACAAAATAATCCATAAGACAAAATAAACCCGTAAAATGCACTTATATCTGCTTGTCGTTTTTGTTCATAAAAATATCTTGTTGATATAAAAAGTCCGATATATAAAATTAAAGAAAATTGTAACTTAAACTTTGACAATAAGATACAAGAGTGTCTTCAGCAGCATATTTACGATTATGGAGTGAAATGAGACTTTTTTACGGGTCTTTGTGAGTGTCATTTATGAGAAAAGATTCGAAATACAGAATAATACTTTTTATTCACAAACAAAAACAGTATCTCCTGAGAGATTTCACTTTTAGATAGCAGCCTATCAAATGTAGAAAAACTATTCATTTTTTTGGCGAGGATCTTCTATACTCAACATTATTATAAAATTTATCTAGAGATCTTAAAACAAAAATGTACTTGTTTGAAATTATTTCCGCGCTCAACTCTTCCAAAAAAATAGCAATTCTATCATGATTGTCTGTTATATATAAACGAAAAAGAATAACTATTTGCAAAAGTGTTCTTTTAGGTGTCGATGACATATTTCTTTATCATCCTATTATTGAAAAGAGCCATATTCTTGATAATCTGTCATGAATGAAAACCAAATTCTTATATAATATTCATTAGGCACGTGCCATCTTGTTTTTTAGGTTAGATTTAGTGTCAGTTTCTATTTTTACGGAATTTTCATGAAAATTTTTCAGGCTGTCATTTTATATTTTAAAAGAATTCTTATAGCATTTTTGATATTTTGTTTTATACTTTCAACTGTTATTTAATGGGAAAAGTTACCATTTCTTGCTTAGAAAAAAAATGTATCACAGTAGACTACTGTTCAAAAACGTTCTAGTCTAATTGATATTTCAATTTATTATTAAAATATCGCTAATGATCTTAATATATTATGTAGACGTTGAATTTTCTTGGTCTCTAGAAGATCTTGATCCACTTGCACGATGTCGAATATTTTTAGATTGATTTTCAATTAATTTATTATGTACTTCTCGATTATGATATCGTGGAAAACGTTCCGTTCGATTATTCTCTCTCTTGAAATAGTGTAACAGACCAAAACTCGCAATTATGACAGCAAACAGGGTGCCAAAACAAACGATAATTATTATCTCAATTCCGTCGAATCTGTGTGAATAACAATAGAGTATGCTTAAATAAGGGGATGGTGGTAATAATGATAATGATTTATTACTTGTATCTACAAGTGTAAATATGAATTGATGTGTTGTTGTCTTAAGAAAATAAAAATATGAAATATCTGTAGGTACATTTTCATTGAATAAACGATTCCATCGATTTGAATCCCATTTACATAAGCTCCTATCAATATCAGATTGGGAATTTTGAATTTGAATTAAATCAATAGGATCATAGTTATTTCCTGTTAAATCTTCCCAAAGAAATATTGCTATGTCATTTGAAGTGTAATATCTCTTAGTTTGATTGTTTATGGTAAAATTAGATTGAGTTACAAATAAGCCAAGACGGATTTTATTAATGATAGAAGGTGAATCTGATGATTGATTAAAATTGATATCAATATCAATGGAAGATAGCTGTGATGGTGACTGATCAATAATAATAAAAAGAATTATTTGAGTTGGATTATCAAGATACACATTTGTGGTTAACGTATTTTGATCTCTACGTGAACGTGCACATTGTCAACTTGAACTATCGTCTGTAAATATGAGAGGAAACTGATAGCATAAGATATTTAATGTATCTTGAACTAGAAGAAGTAAACACGAAATATGATAGTTATATAATTAAATAAATGTCGCTTTGTTTTACTTTCAAAAAGAGTGTACACATGAATTGGAAATGTTGGTATTAGGTCAATTCGTCGCGAGACAATTCGTCGCGTGGATAATTCGTCGTATGGACGGTTCGTCGCAAGACAATTGGTTGCAATGTAACTTAATGAAAGTGAATATGACGTGTTGCTTGATGTAATTGAATAAGCCCACGAATTTCGTAGACTGAGTTATGAATCTCAAGGAAAAAATAAATAATCTAATAGGATTTTGGGAAAATCAGAAAAAACCCATTAATTTTAAAAATAAATATAAAATAATTCTCCTCAGTAACAGAAGGCATTTCTTGTCACTATTCATACATTTATCTATATCAATTATTCTACATTCTCATTAGTCTCCCTTAATTAAATTAGAATAAACATGTCCGCGACGAATTGTCTTGCGACGAATTGTCCAGTTACCGAAATGTTAAACAAAGAATAAGTGTCACAAAGAAGAATGGTTTCATTCTATATGACAATTACAGTTAGATTATTTACGATACTAGATGTTTCTTGTGATATTTTAACAACATATTAACACAAATAAAAATAATTAAACACGTGCCTAACCGAGTCACTGTTCCACTTGAGCGATTTTATTTATTACTAAAAAGTGAATGAATGAATGATTGACTGGAAATTATACATATAAGAAAGGAAAAAAAACGACGACAGTAAAATCTGATGGAGTTTATACACGTGAGTAAATATGAGAAAATATATTGATTGAAGATAGAACATCGCCGAAGTTTCAATCGAAGTTTTTATTGTATAAATTTTCTCTGATAAGAATCAATGGATAATTATTGAAAGCAAGACGCAGGTCTTTTAGATAAATATCATATAACTATAGTAGAGCATTGATTGAATTTTTCATATATTTCATGTATCAACTCTGAATAAATGATTGTATACTCAAAATCAAAGTGACTAAGGACTTATTGATCTTTATATAATCTAATTTATTATAGGGGTCACAATTATTTTTTTTATGATACCACTTTGAAATTCGCATGCGATAAGTAATGATTGATTTTTATTCTCGATCGAACTTTGATTTATGTTAGCAAACATTTCATATTGAGTTTAAACTTAATATTTCCCCCTTAATTCAATTCTTCTAAGATCTTTTCGCCGTATAACTATAGTGAAAAAATTATAACTCAAAAGTTATAAACTAATAATTAATTAAAACAAAGCGAATTCATGTTAAGTTACTTACGGTTTTATGTTGCATTAGACTAGAATCTGAATAAGCATATTCGTGTAAATAAACCTCCTGACTGCAGCCATATGTGTTGAATTGAAATTTATTTTCCTATTATTATTTGCCCTAAATAAATATTGGGTTAATAAGAACTGATATATCATACTCTGTGGGTTTAAGAGTAGATTTTAATAAATAAGATCTTAGCATAAATAAAATGATATACCATCCAATACAGATATTAACTAGTGTTTGTACACTAAAAATTTGTTAATTAGTTAAAATGGCCCTTAAAAAAACGATACTTTCAGTATTTATCGATATAAAGATCAATGCATCATGTAGATCATTATTCAAAATTGTTTGACATTCATTGAATTCAAGGCAACACAAAGAAAATAAATTCATTGTGTTTTTAACAAAATATTTATAGATGTTTCTTAAATGACTTGTGTGTTTGTATTTTTTTTCAAACAAATTTCTATTTGGGTCATTCCACCAGAAGTCGCCAGGTCCATCCGGCGGCCACGCCCAAATTTCTTGAAACTTTCAGGGTTTGTAGAGACTTTCTCGCTGATCATTTTGATAATAAACTATGAACATTCATTTATAAATATTTTCAACAACTACTGCCTTTGAAATGAAATGAAATGTGTGGATAAAACTGATTAACGAATAGTGTAGAGCAAATTGTGCTCTACCGAAATAATGAGATTCTTATTTTGGATAATTTACTTTTCTATTTAATTCGAAATCTTTTTTCATCATTTATCTTTCCCGTGTGTATCACATATGATCAGACAGACATCATAAGAATATGTGAAAACCTATAAATTTCACAGAAATTCTGACACAGTTTTTAATGCGCAATCAGCATATTTAAGTAGCGTTTGAATTTCCACAAATAGTATTACGCTATCACTTTTGTTTCGAGAAAGAAGTATCGGTTTTTATGCATAATTTCAAAGAAGGTAATAGTGATTGATAGTATTTGACCCATATCGCAATGAAAATAAAATTGAACATTGAATAATATCTTGTGATAATGATCAGCATAAAAAACTCTACAAGCGTTGAAAGTTGCAAATAATAATTGGACCAACTGGTCAGATTTTATGAATAAATTAATCAAAGGCTTTCTGAAAAATTACAATCTAAAGTATTGTCGGCAGTTGTTGCTTACTGAATTTAAAGTGGGGACTAAAAGAAATAGTGCATCTAGTAGAGGAAAATTTTCTGTATCGAACTAGTAATGTTACTATTCCGGTTCATCGCAACTTCTTCAGCAAATTTTTCAAACAATGTTTTTTTCTGGCGAATTATCTCGGCCTTAGTGGATCGTACAAAATTCTTCTAATCCCTATGAATTCTGATAGTTTTTCACGAGGAATCTGAATATGTGGTTGGTTTTAAAATTCAGGTAAAGAAAGAGGGACATTTATCGCTATTTCGAAAAAAAATGTAAGTTTTGTTTTATTTTTTTGAAAAACTGTATTTCTTGTATTTGAACTCTATCTACGCGAAAAAAGAGCTTATTTTGGAAAAGTTGATTATCACAATGATCAGCGAAAAAGTCTCTACAAACCCTGAAAATTTCAAGAAATTTAAGTGTGATTGCCGAATGAACTTGACGACCTCTGGTCGAATGACCCGCCCTAGTCAATTTTCCCTAGAAGAATCCCCCAAATAAGAAGTCCCTGGTGACTAACGACAGGGATTCCACAGGGATTTTGTTATTTTGCGGGGACTCCGCGGGGAGTCGTCGGGGGAGAGTGGATTAGGGGCATTTATTAAAAAATAAAAATAACGGTTAACATGCTTTGTATGATTTATTTCTTTCCGCATATAAAAACGTTCTATACGGATAATAATAAGTAAGCGAATGTATGATTGTTGTAAAGTTCGATTTCAAATATTCTGTACATCGGTTTGTTAGACATATTCTTTCTACATACGGATAATCAGTCTTAAGTTGTGTACAATTGGCATAAATAATATTAGGCATCATCAATTTTTCATATTTATGAGAGTAAGGAAAAATAAAACAACCCGTTTCAATTGCTTGCATTCTGCGTGATTCAAAATGTGCCATTGGCTCTCGAGGCCCATATAACCACAATGATCCCAAAGGTCGAAGTACTAAAGGAAATATATCTGCAACGCGAACAGGACAGCTACTTGGCTGTCCCAATAACCAAACATGTGTTGAATTTTGATCATGATAAAATATGTCGATAAATGGAAAACGCCATGGTGTCCTACCGGCGTGGGGACACCAAGAAAAAAATATTTTATCATAATTACGTGAATTGTGTAATTGCATAATACGAATTGAATAGGGTTCTGATGAAAGTTCTTCAATAATAATTGATTGTAAACGATAACGATCTGAAATTGAAACACGTAGATCTACATCATCATCCCACGGTAATATATCATGATGAGTATAACTCCCTAAAATGAAATTAATAAAAACAAAAGAGCACTATTAAATTATAATATCTTATTAACTGTATTTACCAAGAAGCGTCGCAGCCATCATCATATATTTAATGTTATATTTTTTAAAAACTTTTTCAATAAGTACAAATAGAAGATGCATATAAACAGCATGTTCACATTGAGTAAGACCACGAGGCATAAGCGCATTTGAACGCCATTGCGAGTAATAATATGGTATAGGTCCCATGTTTGGATCAAGATGAATAATATTGTTTGATGGAATTTCACTTTTGATCCGTTGAGCTACTTCATGGCAAAATCGGTCGTATCGAGTATAATTGGAAGGGCTCAAAGGTACTATTTCAGATGAAACGGAATATGGTTGATAGAAAATATTTAAAAATGGAGATAAAACAAATAGAGTAATAATAATAATAATAAGAGCTTGATTGGATTGGATCGTACGGATAAAACGTATCATCGTTGGCTCACTTTCTGACTTTTATAGATCTGCCGTTATTTAAGAATGCAATACAATAGCGGCAAATTTTCAAGTATCCTTGCACAGTACCTATTTAAACCAATATAGAATAGCAGAATGTAATAAAGTTGCAAAACACTAGTGGTACTTAGAAAAATATAATAGAATAGTAAGAACTATGTCATGAATATTTTTTGACTAATTTATGCTATGTTTGAGTACAAAATTCAAATGACGATACTGATGTATTGTTATTTTTTTTCATAGAATTTAATTTCAGCGTATCTCATTTTTTCTGAGAACACACTCAGCTCGGCTTGATGCATTTACTTTTTTCCGCTTTTACAAATGGAAATATTGAATGGTGATAAATCAAAAGTAATAAAGAAACGTGGCGCATCATGGTCGCAAAGGCTGACACCATCTTGAAAAAACATATGATTCCATTAGATAATGACAACCACATCCAGCATTGAAATCAAAACATATAGTTTTTTTTATAGTACCTATAGTACAGTTTGTTTGATGATTTAGAAAAACTAATTGTATGATTAATGAAATATCATATAAAACAAGAGCAAGTCTGTAAGTCTAGGTTATTTCATCTTATGGGTTCAGCTGTTTTGAAAATGAGTAATATTCATAAATAAACCAAACATTCTTAGTCAAGTAACGAATAACATTGAAATTAATCAATATATGCTCTACTAAGTAAAAGAAAAATCACTGGCTCCATTGAAATCAACTAATTAGATATCTTTAATTATTCAATCATCATACACAATTTAAAGATTCTAAAAGTTTTATTGATTGCTAAAAGAAATCGGAATTGAAAGAAATTAGTTTCCTTCAATTTGTTGCTACTGTTGTCTTTGTATCATAGACCGAAACGAACCAAAAAACATCTGACTCGACTCAAACAACGAATTTTCAAAAGCAGATTTTGTCAACAATAATAATAATTTACAATGGCAGGTTGATTCAACAATAACAAGAATCATAGATATCCGTGATCGGTCAACTGGCTAGGTCCCGTTTCATCGAAAAATCACCTTCACCCACATCATCACTGCTTTGATATGCTTTGAAGTAATTTGCGGTAGAGGTGTTAATTTCGACAAAACGGGAATTCACCCAGGCAATTCATTGTTGTGTGACAAATTGGTGAATAGAACCTGATGTATTGAATACAATGGAAGTCACTGTATGTCATTCATTATTGTCTATAGGACGGCGTCAATTCATCGCCGTTTATTTATCATATTCTTTGTTCAATTAATTTACTGCAATGAGTGAGACTTGTATCGTTTCACTGCAACAGCTGATAATAACGATCAATATTGAGAAACAGTTGAAAGGAACAATGAAAACTTTAAAAAAGTCGAGCCTCTCAAATCAAACTCGACTCGGTTTCAGTCTATGCTTTGTGTATATTATAATGAAGAGATTGTTTTGATATTCCTCGTGTCACATTCGTTCTCAGTTACCTCTTCGAGAATGAGAGCGACGAAAACAAAATTTCATGATACAGATGATCAGTAAAATTAATTGACTTTTTTGTTTAGTATTCATTAGAAGTAGGCAAATAGTGTATTTTTATGCTTCATCTGCATCAGATATGTGATTGTAAGCTGCATTATCATTTGTTTTTACCTTTCATTAATTTTTTTGTACTACAAAACTGAACCGAATGAAAATATCAATGAAGCGATCGACAAAAATAGCTTAGCATTATCAATGTTGCTCTTTTTACAACTTAAAAATCATATTTAAATATAGTATTCTATAGTAAGTTTTAAAAAAATCAGAAACTCATTTGATTTCTGTTGTTTTATTCAAAATAAATACAAAAAATGTGCTAAAATGACCAGGTTAACTCTATGGTTATGCTTTTTTTTAAATGACTGATTTCAATAAGGTTTGAATTAAATTGCTTTATTGCATAGAATCATTTAGAAATAGAAATATATATGTGGTGGTGTCGAAAGATAACGCAGTAATATCGGTGAGATAAGAAAAGGAGAGAGAGCGAGAGAGAAATGTCTTCTAGATCAGATTTGAATGAAATAATAACGACAGTAATATTAGTAAAAACGCGATCCCTATATAGAATATTCCCGTAAACAATGGTTTAAAACCAAAGTGGGTCTTCTTCAACATCAAGCTGTTCGTAAAAAGTAAGACTTTTTAATTTTTAATTTCGAATGCACATTTTTATAACTTCTTTTTTCAAAAAAGAATATTTAGTAGACAATTATTATTGCAAGTAGTAATTGTAATAGTACGAAACAACCCACCTGAAAGAATTTTTATGGCGCCATGGCAATCATGCATCAATAGATTTGCGTGGCATTCAATGATTGTATTCTATCTCACAAAGCATAACTTTTAACTTGATTCAATATTTTTATAGTATGCCATACCAATTACGAAAATTTATTTTCATTGAGAATTCTATATAGTTATCTATTATGTAGGATAATAGGTCGTTAACTCTTGTTTTCATAAGATTCATTTTTTTAAAAATTGCTTTCTCATTGAGACTGAAGTGAGTATTGTGAAATGATTAAATCAAAACTCGGAAATTTTCAGTTTTAGCACGAGAAATCAATAGTTCTGGAGAAGAATTATTTTCAAAAAAAGATTAGACGCTCTGTTACATGAAGCTATTTATCAAATCTAGAGTTTTATTATTGATTATCGAAGTAGGTATATCACTGAAAGTTCTCTAGGAAATAGAATCAAAATCATCATAAAGAATGATTGTATTAAACAGTTTCATATAGCTACGTTTTAGTACGTCGGAAAGATCAGTTGATTTGCCACTGCTCTTTGATTCATCGTTGAAAAGTGAAATTTTTACTATCAGTGATGTTTCAAATAGTTCATCCAAATCTTGAGACAAGCATAAAAATCACAGCTAGCATTATTTTTGTCTCAACTACTGACTTTTCCGATATTAGTAAAAAGAAAATAATGATTCCTAGAGTTCGATCACGTACAAGTGCAGTAATCGAAAACCAGCTAGCATTGCAAGACCTGGATTAGCAAAATTTCTTTTTTTTTAATCAGAAATTAGGGTCATTTTTTGGAGTCTTCGTCGGCATGCCCAATCTTCAATACCCGTTTATATGACTTTGAACCAAATTTTTGTCTACAGACAAATTGAGTAAGTAGAGACGTGCATAAGCGGCTAAGCCTTGTTGTGTTGCCCCTAATGAGACTTGAAATTCTACTAAGAGAAAGCTAAGAAAAGTAGAGTGACAAGTTGAATGAGATCTATCATACGGTGAAATGTAGAGTTGCTGATTGAAACAAAATTTATTTATTTTCAGGAAAAAAATTATTTTGCCAATCAAAATATATAAATCTTAATTGCTTTGTCAGTAGTGTACGTAACAAATATTCTATGGAAAAAAATTATTTTCTTTTAGTGCTAAAAAAAACAAGGTTCGATTTCTTGTTGCATTGTCTTGAATAGTCCATGCCGTTCAAAATTATGGAATAATTTAGCAAAAGAAAATATAATTGAAGCGGATATGAAATAATTGCTCGTAAAGTACCGCTGCCTTTTCTTACAGTGACAGTGTGCATGTCTCGTGTTCCTTTGATTTCCATGTCGATGGTAAAGTTCTATGACATGTGTTTACTGATAAATAAATCATATCGTTCAAGAAATAATGTCTTTCTTGACACGTATGAAATAGATGTCAACTATCATTGTATATTACTCTAGAGTCCTGTTGTAAAAGTTTGAATTACTGCTAAGAATCATATTTCGCTTTTATTCTAAATTTTCTTTTCCATATCTTGATGAACTGTGTACAGTTTGCACTGATAGTAATGAGGTCATTTTCCAACGATGAATCATAGAATAGAGACAAGTTAAACAATATTTCAGATGTAAAAAGCATCCTTGTATTGTATTAGGTATTACTAATACAGGCATTGTGTACGATAATGTGATTTTCATTTTATAGAGAACTTTCAGTCAGTTTTTACAGACAAATGACCGATTAGATGCAAAATTTTATAGAAGAAAACGTTGAATATTTGCTAAAATTGAAACTATTCAAGGTTTAATTTAGTGATTTCATTTACTAATATCCGTGCCTATAAGAAAATAATAAAAATAAAAATGAATCTACTAGGAGAAAGGTATAATGACGTGTTCCTTTTCTGTATGATTTCTTCTAGTTATCGACAATAAAAAATAAGATGTGCGAAATAGAAGTAAAAAATAACTACTTATGTGTCACTTTATTGATGTATGATGTCGGATATTTTATTTTTAGAAAAAAGTCAATTAATCATCTTAACGATGAATTTTGATAGGATAGAAACGAAAAAGACAGCGATCTAACTTTAAATGGTATTTAATAGAATAACTCAGGTTTATTTATTTCAGCAATCTTCACACTATTCTGATATTTTCGTTTGTTGATCGTGAGTGTAATGCAATATAATAAAGTATAAATTTCTTTTCACATCTTGTTGATCTATAACAATGACAAATGTCTCTTAACAATAAATGTTTATATTTTTTATTCTTCAATGATATACTGTTGCTAGAACAAGATACGGTATTAAAACATGAAATAAATTGTTTTTGTCGTATCTTTTTGTCCTAGGCATTCGTGCAACTTTGTTTTTCGTTTTATGAAGTAGCACGTGCCCATCTTGGTGATTTAATTTTGATAAAAAAAAACTACACGATTATATTTTTATTTACTGGTATAACGAATACGAGTGATTATTAGCTATTGTCACTATTAATCAATATGACTTTTTTTTCCGTTCATCTCACTGAGGTATTTTTTCTTTCCTCCTTTCGAGACAACACATTCTTTAATTATAGACGTCTATATGAAAATGTCAAGTCATGCACGAATGCCTCTCCAACGACTTCTTTTTATGAATATTTTTATCACGAAAGGTATACAAAATGCAAAATTGTATATTTCTAACTTCACTTTTTGAAGATTATAAAATTTCATTTGAAGAAAATCTGATCGGCAGTACTGTTTTTGAATGAATCAAAAACAATGATTGCAAACGATGGTATTGTTAATGTAGACACAGTGCTAGCTGTACTCTCGAATGAAGAAGAATTCATTTTTAAACCTTTTCAATCGGGTAAGATTATATTATTGTCTTATGACCGAAGTGTTCTCCTTCGATCATAAGACGGAACAAACGAAAAAATACACGCTCCTTTCTAGTATAGTGGTAGTACAGCTGTCCGAAAAACAGAAGACGTTGGTTCGATTTCATCGGAGGGAGATTATTCCCATATAAAAATTTTACCCAAAAAAGTGACTATTAAGTGCTTTCAATAGTAGGTCTTACGCAGGGTAAAGTACTTATAAGTGAACCTTTTTAAGTAGTTTTCATACTCTTTGACTAAAAAGTATTGATAAGTACTTTTGAAAGTACGACAAGTATGATAAAGTACTATAGAAAGTGGAAAAATTATCAGAAAGTATTATAAAAAGTGATTAAAAACGATTTTCGGTTCACTTTTTTTACATGGGTCCTTTAGTTCCGTTATGTTATCATACCAACTCGTTGCTGTCTGACTGATAACTGAGTTTAATAATGTGAGAGAAAATAAAACCCAATACATGGTAACGCTCATAGTTTAGCGTGACTAGTATTTTGTCGTTAGCATTTATTTTGTTCTTAACATTTATTTTGTCCTTTCTCTGTATTTTGTACTTACTATGATGTCCTTAGCGTTTGCCCTTAACTCCCATCAGCTTCCGTTCGCTCTGATGGTTTAGTATTTAAATATGCGAGTTTTTGCGTAATCGGTAAGATTTATGATATGAAGAAATGAAATAAATCAAGGTTCCATCAATTAAAGCACTTCTTCTGTCAGAAATCGTCATAATCATAATTTCATATCATCACTGTTCTCTGTTTTTCTTATTTGAAAGGGCCTACAAATGATATTGGTGCAATAGAATGTGGAAAAGTTGTATCAAGAATGAATAAACCTATATTTGACTATCAAATTGGTAGAAAATAAAATAAAAATTGCATTTGTACTTAAAATTTCAATTTTCATTCATAGGTGATAAGGCAAATGCATCTGTATTTAATCCAGTATTTTATTATAGAATTACTTTAACAATACCTGAAACTAAACAAGTTATTGTGTGATTGCCTATTGTATTTCATTAAAAAAAATATTCTTTTCTTTTTTAGGTTGTTATGGAATTCTATGAAAATCGTTTACCTCTTCTATGTCAAATGTGTAGTAAACAAGAAGTTCGATATTCAACAACTATTGAAGGTGAAAGTCAATCAATGGGAACTATACGAAAAGGGTATGTTTAAAAAAAAGAATCTACTTTATTGATAGAAAAAAAAAGGAGAAAAAAGAAACGAAGAATTTTCTTATATTGTTATTCGTGATGGAGATTGTAGTTTAGTTAAATTTTTAAGATATAATTCTAATAAACGATATGTGGATTCAGCTACTGTACCAATGTCTTTATCAGCATAGAATGTAAAGCCATTTAATTCATCTTGACGCATATCGAATGCATCCGTACTTGGTGGAAGTTCAATTGAAAATGTATGTGGAATTTGTGCTATAGCTTTTGCCCAGTCTTCGCTGGTACCCGTTGCTGCATATAGTACAGTTGATGATTGGCCAATTTTGAATGTATTCATACTTAGACTATTCATCTCTAAAAGTAAACGTTCAGTCCGATGATAATCATGTGGCCGAATTCGTGTTGAAAATGAAAATGGTAACATCCAAAGATTGCCAAATGCATGTAATGTTATAAATGCATGAAAATACCGTCGACGTTTTAATATAAATGATGTTATTGCTCGAACTTCTGGTTCCGATTCAGGATATGGGCCACGATAAGTTTCTTCGCTATGTTAAAGAAAAACGACAAGTATCAATTTTTATGAGAAGAAAATAAATATTAATACCAGGGAAATTTCGATGCTCCACGATTATCCCATGCGAATGGAAAATTTCGATTTAAATCAACACCTGGACAATCACTATGGGGTCGTCGATTTTTTCTCCACATCCTTTGTTGATCTTGTTCTTCGTCTGTATTCCAATCAGTCTTAACATCATCATGTGTATAAACGTAACCATCAGGATTAACAACAGGCATAAAATAAAAATCATATTTATCAATTAATTTTCTAACATCAGCATCACGTGCTAATGTACCATTGATGATTCGTGCTATGGTATAGAGTACAGTTGCAGTTGAAATCCATTCTCTTGCATGAATACCACCATCAATCCATACTGAACGACGATTTTTTCGAAATGGCATAAGACCTATTTTTGCTACGACTAATGAACGATTTTCATGTGTATGGCCAACAGTGTCATAGGCAAAAAAACGTGATATATTAGGATGACGAGAAAGTTCTTCGAACCAACGAAGAATTGTTGGATAACGAGGATATTGATCAATTATTTGAGAAAATGATGGAACGGTAAATAGCCAAGATGAAGGTGATGGAATAGATGGACGCGGCATTGACGAAGTTGATGCTAAATTTAAAGAAAAAAAGAATATTTTTAATAGCGATTGATTTTTAGAAATAATTAGATATAATTGTTACTTGATCGAGAAAATGTACTGGTACTAGCAGTAGTAGTAGTCGTCGTAGCCATCGTAGTTGTAGCTGCTCTTCTAGTTGTTGGCGATGGATATATGTAAGTAGTCGGTGTTGTAAAACTTCTTGGTACTGTCGGTGGTGGTGGTCTATGAATATATGATGGCAATTTAGGAAAACGTTCATAGAATGCTTGTGCTGTTGCTAGTGTTGTTGTAGTTAATTTCCACCATGGGATTTGTGTTGTTGTTGTTGTTGTTGTGGTGGTGGTGGTTAATTTCCACCATGGAATTTGTGTTGTTGTTAATGAAATCGCTGTTGTTGTGTCTGTTGGTTCGTAAACATTAATAATGACACCAAAACGTTGATGATTTAAAGAATTTGATGTTGGTGATGATGTTGTTTGAGTTCGATTTCGTCGTCGATAATGATAATATCTTTTCGTTTGAATAGTTGATGTCGACATTGGATGAAAAAAATAAGTAGTTCGAGTTGTAAATAGCTTATTTCTATATTGATGATGATTATTATTATCTATCGGAAGACCAGCATCAATGGGCGGAGCTGTTGGATGATTGGTTTTCGGTACATTTACACCAACATACAACTCGACTGGTCCCATAAAACTTTGTTGACTTGTATAATTCCATGATGGATTATGAAAATATGGATATTGTGCTATTAAAGATGATACTAATGTTAATATTATAATCGAAAAACAAATCATAGTTGTCATGAAAACTATCGATAGGTTTTTTTTGCTTCTTTTTCACTCACGAAATGGTACCAATTGATTGAAAAAAACAAATGGGCTTCTCTTTGACATTTGGACATAATTGCCATTTTCAATTTTCTTTCTGATAGAGCAGGTATAGATGTATGTTCTTCTATGCGTATACATCCATGCATCAGATAAAAAATAGTAACAGTAATCGAATGTAATCTGAACAGTTTTATTCTTTTTTTTTTATTGATTATAGAGTGGCATTTGCTAAAGTATGGTATGATATATACAATAATAGACGTGAGCATATAGCAAGTTTAATGTTACGTAAAAGTCATTTAAGAGGCAAAATTCAACATCGTGTACCTGAATTTGAAATCATTGATAATGATGAAACAGCACACATAGGAAGAATCTATCCATTTTCAACTGATCTCGAGCGATCTGAATATGGAAGAGCGGTAGCTATGAAGAGTATGTTGAAAAACATTTACTATGATTTGTTTTTATATACGTATATGATTGAATTCTAGTTTCAAATACGATGACAGTTGAAGTAAAAGCTATGCTATTAATGGCAACACTTATTGTTGTATGTATATGTGAAGTATTTTATAAAATTTATAATTTTGTTTTGTATTTTCTTTATAGAAAGCACGACTCGTTTAATTAAATTATTTCCCAAGAGTTTACCATGGAGAATCAGATTATATTTTATAGATAATGTTGAAAACTATCAATGTATTAGAATGTTCCTGTTTGAATAAATTTGATTCTGCAGATGAAATTATAATAAGAGACAGAAGTCTCTTACTTTGATTTGTGACAGATCGTGTTGTCATGTGGAATTTAGTTATTTGTATGAAAAATGAGTTTTGACACATGAAAGTATGCATTATATAGAATTACAAACATCATTGAATTATGCAGTTACAGTAACTATTTTGGTAATATTTCAGTACTAAACATCTTTGTGTTCTACTCGTTGTGAGGCCATATTTATTCCATTTATAAATGACAGACCATTATAATCTTGTTTGTATTATCTAGTGTATCCATCATCGTCTTTTCTTCTTGTCTTTTCTCTTCAAAACTAAAAAAACAAACGAGAAGTTCCAATTAAGAGAAAAATATTTATTTTGTTTTAATCCTTTTTCGTATAGATCAACATTCTATCTGAATACTTTCGTGTTGTATTTTCCTTCTATCATATCGACCCAAGCTTATAGTAAATTAATAGCTGTATCTTTGATTGTATACCGAGGACCTGATTGGTATGATATTTATTTTAAAAAAAATGCTACTAAACCCTTAGAAACAATCTCGACAAATTGCTTTCTCTCGTAAAAGTCAGAATAATATGAGAGGGCAACGATTATAAATAATAGAGATCAAGTAGTTTCCATCGCTAATGAAATATGTTAATAGGATAAACTTTTACTGATATTCAGATTGTTTTTTTTTCTTTTACGGAATATAACATATCATTGAGTATACTCATATGTTCTTTGTCAATCAACAAGTATAATGTGAGGAAGAAAGAAAACAAAGAAAACCTTGTCTACATCGTTTATAATATCAATGATGTCTATGCCGATATAGCTATGCTTTAATGATAGTTATAGATGAAATCATCGGAAAATATCGATGTCAAGTATATTTCAAATATGTATCAATCACATGGAGGTATTTTTTCGCACATTTCTATCATCATATCTCATTAAAAACATATTTGCCATTGAGGAAAATAGAAAAAAGAACATGTGACAACTAGACAAATTAGCCAATCATATACGGCATATTGGCAATAACGAATGCGAAGGTCGATAATGTAGTAGACACAAAGAGAGGGAGAGAGAGGGGGGGTATAGGGGGGGGGGAGAGGATTATATCAATGTACATCTGACTGGTGGCTTGCTGTTTATTATGATCATTATTAGAGAGCTATTCTTCTAAGGATAAACGCTGGAACTCAGCAGACAACAGACAGAGCTTGATGATATAAGAGATGGCGTCGAACATCTGAGAATAGTTATTAAATTATTGATCAGAGAAACAAAAACTTATATAGCTCCAGAACTATACAGACACACCTACCAAAACTAGCGCATTAAAGATTGCTTTGCAACAAATGACTTCATCTACAAATGATATTCTTGGTCAAAAATTGTTTGACGGTAAAACGAAAACAATTTATTCTATGATCGATCAACCTGGTCTTATTTGCATCTATCGAAAAGATTTCTATCAAGCATCAGGCAGAACACTAAGTATTCCGGGCAGTCGCCGTACAAGTATTGATAGTTCAAATCGTTTTAATCAAATACAACAACAACAGAACATTACTTGTAATAATTCGAATTCATATATTGAAATTCCTGGTAAAGGTGCGCTGACTACATCGATAACAACATGTGTTTATGAAATTTTACGTGAAGCATCGATTCCAACATTTTATGTTGCAACACATCGACAACCAGATATATTTATTGCAAGAAAATGCACAATGATACCAATACTATGGATTGTTCGTCGATTAGCTAACGAAACATATGTTAAACGTAATCCAGGGATTATGAATGGACATCGATTTATTCCACCTCTGATTGAAATTTACCATAAACGTTCGACAAATGGAAATAACGACGAGAATCTTGATTCTTCGTTTGAAAGTTCATTCGATGAAGAAGATTCAGATTCCGATGAATGTCTCTCATCAATATGGTCGTATGAACAACTTCTTAATACACATTTCGATATTGAAAATTTAAAAATTACACAAACTGAAATTGAATATATGTACGAAATATGCTGTACTATATTTGATATACTTGAACATTTATGGATGATGAAAAAAAATTGTCAATTAATTGATTTAAAAATTGAATTCGGAATAACAACAACTATCACAAAAGAAATTGTTGTTGCCAATACATTCGACATTGAAACATGGCATATTTTACGCCCGATACAAAAAAATGCTTCACTCGGAGATGATTTAATACAAGAAAATCTTATTTGGATGAATAATGCTTTAAGAGATATACTTAATTTAAATATTAATATGCCTTTACCCGTAAAAATAGTGCCAAGACGAAGAAGTTTTATTCATCAAAGACAACCATCAACATTAGACGAAGCTGAAACTGATGATGATGAAAAAGTAAAAATTAGTGTTACTCCTAACGATGATCATATTGATATACATAGAGATATATTATCATTGAATATCTATTCATCATCGTTTTCACCATTAATAACAAGTCGTTGTATTATAGTTTGTTCGTCATTGCATGATATTGGACAAGGACAAAAAATAAAAGCAACTCTTAATGAATCCTATAATATTCAATGTGATATTCGTCTTTGTTCAATCTATAAATCTACTCAAGCAATATTAAAATTTCTATCAAATTATTCTTATGAACATTGCCGTTCAACTGTTTTCGTTACCCTTGGTAATATAAATAACGGTTTAGCAATGTGTTTATCATCGAATTCTCAATATCCAGTTATACATTGTTCTTTAATGAATATTGAACAGCAAAATAATTTATTTGATATTAATTCATATTTATCACAGGATGCATCCATGTTTACAGTTGTATTTACATTAACAAGTGCAGTACAAAATGTGGTACAAATTCTTGCTATGAATGATTGGCGATTGTGGGCAAAACAGCGTGGAAAACGTTTGAAAAATTATATTGACTTATTAGTTGCTGATCAACAGTTAACAACAACAGCAGTAACAGCAACCAAACAGATAACAAAGAATAATAATGGAATTTTAGCGAATAAATAAAGACATTTTCTATTTTCTGTTGTAAAAAATATATTGGTGAAAAAACAAAAAGAACAATATATCACATCATTCATTTATTTGTTAACATGTGTTAATGTTTCTTAATAAATTTATTCATCTATTTTCTAAACATCACTAGGTTGTTTTCTTTTTACCACACCCTTCTTATCGTAGGTATCTAAATTTATAGTTGTCATCTAACGATGTGAAAAAAAAGCCAGCTTTCATCACGATGACGACGCACCTATTTAGTTAGTGATAAAGCATTTTCAAATATTTTAAATAAGTAACTAGAATCTTATCGTTTTATTTGGTAGAAATTGGTTATATCAGTAGCAATGCATTTGATTTTCTCAATTATTGCATTATTATTTATTGGTCATGGTGTTCATATGCATTTATGCCTTTGGTCACCAATGCAACGTGGCGATTTCGATATTTCAACTCCAGGAGCTCATCCATGTTATCGTAAAATAGGACCATGTGGTAATATAAATTCAACATCATCATCACCACGTACATCATTGGTAGCTGGTAGCAAATACAATGTTGGATTTCAACAGAATCTTAATCATTATTATACAAATTTCCCTGGTGCACTTGATATATCATTTGCCGTAGGACTTAATCCATCTGAGAATGATTTTCATGTACTTCATTCGTTTTCTGACTATAATGCAATGAACCAAATAACACAAACCAATTTCTCAATAGAAGTCGACTTACCAAATCAACCATGCGATGAATGTGTTTTACGCGTTCGTTATTTATCAAATAATTTAGATGAAGACGATCACGGAACTGTTTTCCATCAATGTTCCGACATTAAATTGACGCAAAGCTTATTGAATACATTAAAGAAAGAGAAAGAAAATAAAATTCAATTAATCGAAAATATAAATAGACAACGCCAAGAAGATCCACATGATTGTTGTGTACCTGAAAGTTATACAAACGCTTTCTTTCATATTATACCAGCTATCGATTATCAATCCGAAGGTATAATTTATTATGATCAAAAAGCTCGACAGATGCGTGTTACTGCATCGGTTAATGGAGGCCGTGGTAATACTACAGTTGATGGTTTATTTGATATGTGGATGAATTTTACATCAGGCATGCAATACTATTATAACCACCATAGTGGTACATGTGATCTTTATGGATTAGATTTTTGGAATGATTGGTGTTTTGGCAATAAATATAATCAAAGTGAAGATTTTGTTGCAGCCGATGTTACTTGTAAATCACCGTTTGGACCAAGTCAAAGATGTAATCAATGGCAAAATGGAGAATTTATATTTGAAACTTTTGCTTCAAGTGAATGTTTACCATCGAGCATAACTCGACCCAGTGGTGAAAAAATCAATTATATTCAAGGAAAAACTGATCCAATTTCACCTTCAATATTCGTACCCAATCCAATTTGTCTTAAACAAAAAAAAGTTAAACATGCATCACCTCGATGGATGAGATTTCACTTTTAAACTTAATAGTTTGTTGTCGTCTTATAGAAATTTATTTAAATAATAAATTAACAGAAAAATATTTAACTGATATTTGAGGAGAAATCTAGTTTGAGAACTCTATTGTTACAATATTAGAGTAATAATGAAAGTATAGCCAAAATTTATTCACCCCAAATTATGAATTAGACAAACATTATATGATCGATTTTTCGATCAAGTTTCATGAAATATTCTTCACCTTATATATCTTGTTCAAATAAGTTTACGACTAACAACTGCTCAACAATAAGCTTTTTAACATATTTAAGGTGTCTGAAGAAATTCATGTACTTTTAAAATATAAATTCAAAAATTTTTCTAGAATTTTTAATTTTTCCATATAGATCTCCGTTTTCGGAATTAGTCAGCTTCATTTGAATGAATATTAACATATCAATTATGATACAAAGTAGAAAAAAAAATATTTTGTCAAATACAGTGGATAAACAAACAAATACTTTCCCATCTAAATAGTATAATGAAGATTACTACTTACTTGACAATCATGTTTCAACACTAGCTACTTTCTTATGAGAAGTTCTATTTATACATAAAGTACAACTGTCCCATGACTTTGACCGTTCATAAACACTGCCCGAGAAATTCTGTTTTTTATAAAAAAAAAATTTTCTTTCATTCAATACAAAATAATCGTTAATATAACATATACAATAGTCTGATTGTAATCCAATTTTTTATAGATTCATTGAAGAAGTTAAAACCTTGGAATCAATAGCGTACAGACAAATAAATATTTCTATTGATCAGTTTAGAGCATTTGATTTTTTTATTGATTTTTAAAATACCAAATGCAAAAAAAAAACTTCAACTCAACTGTAAAAGTATATAAGACAACGAAGAAAACGAAATAAGAAGCTCAGACATGTGAAGTACTCAAACGAATATGATGATAACCATCTTCATCATCTTCATCAGGTGTTATTAAATCATGCGGATCTGTGGGTGATAATTTTGTTAACGTTCTTTTAGGTTTTTGATTAACTTTTGTAACTTGTTCAAAAACTGGATTTTGTGTTAATGGTATATCCATTTCAGCATCGATTTCATCATCAGAATCTTGTGCCAACGCTAAATATGGATTATTGATAGCTGGCTGAAATTTATAAGCCGTAAATACAAAAAATACAAATGTTGTTAATTCAAAAAAAATAACTTCAAGCCATTCAAAACGAAACGGGACTGTTAATTTGACTATGTAAACAACAATCCGAGTTAAATAGATGTAGAATACAATCTGAAATTATAAACAAAAACAAATTCTTTTTCATGATTAAAATATCAATAAAACTAACCATAACATAAAATTGTCGAAAGATCTTCAATTTACTTAAACTGCTTAAAGCTTTTCCATCGGTTCTAGCTGATTGTTCTAAATGTCGGATGGACCTAGAAAAATAAATAAATACTTGTTTATTTCTTCAGATTGCTTTGTTAGTTTACCAAACAATGGGAAATATAATTGCGCCACAACATAAAAGATCAACAATAAAACATATTTGTCTCCATGTAGCATAAACAACATCACTTTCTTCCTTTTCTTCTAAAAATATTTGAGCGACAATAGCCAGTATCTTTAAAAAAATAGATAAACAAAACATATTCGAAAAAATTTCAATAATCTATAATATACTTGAAGTGGTATAGCAATAATAAATAATTTTCTTTCACGCTCTGATAAAACATGCTTAATAAATGTAAATCCAGTACCAACAAGTAATATTGCAACAATTAAAAGAAGGCCACGTAAACTAAAGAGAAATAATAAAAAAAGATATTTAGAATAACCAAAAACTTAGTTCTTTTTGATTATAGCAACTAGATTTCTTTTTCAATTATCTGGAGTCAATATACTGATCATGTCGAACTATTTCATTATTCGCCTTAATTTCATTCAGATATGTCTAACATAAGGTAATAGGCTATTCTTTGGATTTTTTTGATGATCTATTACTTTATCATTTCAGTCTTAATATGAATAAATGCATGAATGAAAACAGAAAAACAAATCTTAACATTTAAAATAGTCTCACATCTAGATATAATTTCAAACAAAATATCAAGCTCTTCTTTCCTAACAAAAATGTCAGTCTTTGTAAAAAAATATTTTTTAATTAATAATTAATCTTTTGACAATATTTGTGAGCATTTATTTGAAAAATGAACTTTTCCCAGAAAACTTAAAAGAACGATTTTCATTTTTTTTGCTTTTAATCGTGTGTTCTAGAATCATCAATAATTTTATCATTAGAGTGCCATTTTTTCAGAGATATGTCATCTTTTCGTTTTCTTTTCTTTTGCTAAAAAGTACGCGTCTAGACGAGAAAGAGATATACCTTTCGTTTTTAGCTATATTTAAGTAGACAAGCTCGTTCTATCAATTCTCTTTCGTTTTTCAATTGCTTACATCATACTTACACATGAGTTATGTAGAAGAGTATAGCCCATGCTTCTTCGTGTCGACCTTTACTTGCTATATAATGATGATTAACCTAAATCAAAAATCATATATTACTAGTTTCTATCAACGATAATAACATACACCATGAAATATGAGTGACAAAGCTTTAGTTAAAACGAGAAATAACATTAAATAATGAATTTTGTACACCGGATGTCTACAATTAAAAACAAATATTATTCATAATGACAATAATCAAATAACATATTTTGACTATTTGCATAAGCGGAATCTAAAATGTTCTCGGATCTCATTATCTATCTTATGCAAAATCACAAGACAGTGATAACCAGTGAAATAATATTATCGAACTCTGAAGAAATAATTCTCAATAAAAAAAAAACAGTAATAAGCCAATTCTTTGTCGATGATCGAGCATTTCTTACTTTGATGTTTTCAAAACAAATATCCAATAAAATCCCGAAAGAAAATAAATAACAGCCCAAGTAAAATAAAGTACAGGCAATGGCATTTCTCCAGCTGATAAATAATTATCAAGATTTCGTTGTATTAATATTGCCTAGAATATTCAAAAATGATTTGCACAATAAGGCAAACAACTAATTCAACTTACAGTTAAATTAATATTTAATGGCCTTTGATTTAAGTGACTATCATTTGTATTGAAACAATTATGAAAATATAAGTTATATAGGCCTTCTTCAGATTTACGTTTGACAATTACTTGAAACTAAAGAACGAAATGTACTAAGAAAATCAATAAAAAAAACTGAAATCTTTACTTGAAATCGAAATCGATGTAGTGCATCTCCAATACGTTGCATTGGAATTTCATTTATAAGTGTTTCATTTTTTTCAAATTTTTTAACGGATGGTGTTGTAACATTTGATTTTAATGTTTGATCTATATAGCAATTATTATTATGTAAATGAATAAAACAATATTCTCTACTCACTAGTATTTGATGGATCTAGATTAGTTTGCGTTTCATATTCAATGTCAAGAAGATCGAAATCGACTGAATGTCTTATAATTGTAATTCTATATAATAAATAATCTTGTCTTAAATTTAAAAGCAAATTTTTATTATTTACTTTGGTTTTTCTGATTTATGATCGATCTTGAAATATGCATGTGGTATTTCATTTGCTTCTTCGGATTGATAAAACCCACATGATCGACTTGAATGACTTTGCTAATAATAGTTTCATACAAACAAATATTAAGAATCAATCGAAATTTTTCTATTTACCAAATATTCAGCGATACCACTAGTCTTTGCTTTAGCAATGCTAAATCCAAACTATAGAAGAAGAAAAAAGTCAAAATAATATTCTTTTTTTCAAACTTACCATACTCTCTTTACCGACACCTGCTTTATCATACGTAAAATCTGTAACATTGAAATTCATTGTACCACCGCGAAGAAATCCAAATGTACTTAATAAAATTTGTTGACGATTGTCATCCTTTTATTTCATATGTATTTATAATGAACAATAGAAAGAGAATTGAGAAAAAGATAACTTACAATAATCTTAAGATTATGTATACGACTATTGGCAAACGGGAACAAGAAAACAAACACACATAGACAGGAGAACATTGTATTTTTTGTTAATATAGACTAGACAAATCTAAAAAAAGTCTATACTTTTATTTTATTGATTTTTCACGACATAATCATATTGTCTTTTATTTTACGAAATATGTTGTTTAACATTACTAAACACGATAAATCAAAGACGTTTATAATAGAATGCTACCTGTATTTAGTGCCCTATCATGAAACTGCACGATAAAATATCACAGTTTTATTTTTTTTAATATTTCATCATCACTTTATCGAGTGTTATTCTAAGTTCACAATCCAATTCGTTTTATTAGCAAAAATAAATTTCTCATCCGAACGTGTTTGAAGTGTCTACCAAAAATAATCATTCGAAATACAAAAATGATATCATGGCAAATACTGAGCTCGCGATTGAATATTAATTATTCTCTATCCCGTCTTTGCTCGGTTATCGATGGTGTATCTTCTTCTGAAACTACAAATTCTACACATATTATAGGGATAAGCTCTCTTTTTTCTGATATACTGGTGTTTTTTCGTACTAAACTACTAATATAGATGAATGATTTTAAAAACTCTTAATACCTCTTGGGGCAACCAGACACATCTGTTCTTTTCCTGTTTCTGGGTATATTCTATGGATAGTACCCAATGGCAGTAAATGACTAATGACACGTTGTATATGACTGTACTGTCGTCTAAGAAACCCGTTAAAGCTATTCAATTTGTAATCTACACTGCTTTATAAAATTTTGCATAGAAACTACAGTGGAGAAAAAAAGAATGTATCAGACTATTGAAAAAAATAATTTGTTGTTTTACCATCTAATAAAATATTGATATAAATCATATTCGAAGTAACAGCATGTACATAATCAAGCGAACGAATCGCTTAGATGAATCCTTTTTACTGACTCGTTATTTTAACCAATCTTATTCAAAAAAATAAACAACCTGACATCTATGTTCCACTAAATATCTTATGTATTCTCATCAAACCTATTCTCAAAAATCTTTTACACATTTTTCATCTACGATGGATGCAATAAAAGAATTGTCGTCAGTTTCAGAAGATAATTTTATTCAAGTAATTTTTATTTTTATTTTTATTAAATCTCACAGCATCAAGAGATTATTATTATTCTGCTTAGCTACTACGAAATATTCTTGATGAATATTTTCATCGTCATTCATCATTCAAAACAACAATTAATGCAGATTCACAAATTCGTTTGCAACTTGAACAACTTCTTCGAAGTACAAATCCATCATCAGACAAAGTATATTAAATATACTTAAAGATTGTTTTCAGATGTTAATTTCTACTCACTAGATAAACACAAATGATTTACCTGAACATTTGCAAAAGATTTATTTAAACTTTGTAAACGACTATCGACATGATATCGAACGATACCATGTTCATCAGGCTAGTCAATACATGGAAGAATATCGTTTGAAAAATTTTGATTGGAATATTCGAGTAAGAATGAATTAGAACGTAAGTTTCTATCTTATCTTCGACTTTAGATTGCTCTTCACGATGAACATTTATTTAAATGTCGTCTACCGCTTGTTAATCTGGAATTAGAATTAACAAACGAAAAGAATTCAAAAGATATTTTACTTGAACTTGATGAACAAGAGTTAAACAAATTAATTGATGAAATGGTGAAAATCGATCAAGTAATAAAACGAAAAACATTGTTTTTTTATTTAGTATAATTTTTTTATGAGTTATTTTTCATTTAGACTATGAACAACAACGACGTTCTTTTGTCACAATGATTATTTTAGTTCATTTTTTTAACTGTCCACTGCAATATGATAATTACCTTCCATGATTTTCTTTTTCTAAATTAAATTATAGTATAAAAACATCGGTTTGTGTTTTGAAATAACGCCATCAAATATAGACATTCCGATTCATTTATTTGAAGAATCAATCAAAATGGGAGTATCTATTTTGTTTTAATTCAAATATTTGTTTATAGGAATCGTTGCGTGATTTTTATTGCAATGATATATCTAAGTAATTATAGGAAACCGTTATTTTGATGTTATCGGTCGATAAATTACATTTTTAGAGTTAGTATATTTTAATCAAGACTTTCCGACTGCTGACATTTGCTTCACGTATGAATGTGTCTCAAATTTCCGATTATGAAACAATATTCTATTATCATTCAGTCGTAAGGTGTTGCCATCGAAATTTATCTAATCTACAAACGTAATATTCATCTAGCATAGTTTTACTGACTAATAGACTGTTGCTCATTATTCTATTAGAAGTCAAACAAATTCTTTTCTGTAACTTTGCTGAAACCGAGGTGTGCTCTTTTTGATTTAATATTGATTTGTGGAAATATATAAAATTGAATTTTAAAATAATCGAATTGACAAATATAATTAAGTAACGAAGGTTATTTTCTTTCATTAACTAATACTGAGATGTAGCTATAGAAATGAAAAATCAGTTGAGTTATTTACACTGTTTACTGAAAAACTTCGTACGCAGTCAGACGAGCGTTGAAGAAAAGATGTTTTTACTGGAAAAAAGCGCACATTTCGTTGCGTTAAAACACGCTTTTTTGCTTCGAATCAAATGATTTTCTCGATGTCGTCATTCGTAAGCATCTTTTATCTTCCGAAAAAACAACTCAAATTTCATGAAACGTTAAAGTGTGCACTTTTACGCGGACAAACAGTGTTTTCTTCAACGCTTGTCTGACTGGGTAACTTAAAGGCAAGCGGTTTTCACCGGAATCGATCGGAATTATATCGGGGAATGTTTATATTACTCTGTTAAATTTCGGTGATATACAATTACAATGAGCGAAACATCGATTGAATAGATTCAATATATTGTAATTCAAAATACATTTTGTTCAAGTCTCATCCATTAACAATACGATTCTTTCATCAGCATTCTCTTGTCTTTTTGTTTTCAACTATCAGTATCGGTCATATATCTATACCCTACAAGAGACATAACTACAGTAAAACCTCCTTATGAGGACACCTCTTTACTGTAGACACTTGCTGGTCCGATCGAGCTATTCTTGCTGGAGTTGAACCTCTACAATGTGAACAGTGGACACCTCCTTCTGGTCTTACCCATTGTAAACAACCTTTCTAAAGTGGACACTTGTCCAAACTCATAATTTTGACACTCAGTCGAAGTTGAGTATACATATGAGCACATATTGAATTTCAAAAAGAAATTGCTCGCAATAACATGAAAACTTTCATTTGAATAAAATTCAACGAACTGGACAAGAAAGCAGGCAAACATAGAGTGGATTAGTCACAATGAAACAAAGGGAGAGTAGAGAAGAAATAGAACGATACAATATGATGATAGATGAGAAATACCACCAAAACTGTCCGAAGCGCTCGATATTCTAAGACGGTTATATTTATTTGCGTGGAAAGAACAACCTGAACTTCATGTATTTCTTAGTGAACTTGAATTAAAAATGACTGATCTTTCTCTTGATTGGAAAGTATCTAAAAGCAGTTGTATAACGGACTTTTTCAAAAGCATCCATGAAACTTCAACAAATGTTGAATCATTTACGTTAAGAATTCGACTCAATAATTGATTTTGCAATAAGATAGTTTAATAATTGATTTATTTACGGATTACTTCAATAGTTTATGTTTTATCAAGTGATTTATTTAGTTTATTTTTTGAAAATTCGTTCTATATAAATTAATGTATAAATTTGTTTTGGAATAAAATATGAAATGAAATATTCTAAAAACGTGTCATGTGTCGCATGCTATCAAGCAAGTCATTTTAACGAGGATTCTGAGCATTAATAGTAGCTAATCAGCGACAAATTGATAAACCTCTCGAAAGTGGACACCTCCGTAAAGTGGACACTTTTTCATAGTCCCTTGAATGTCGACTATAGAGAGGTTATACTGTATATCCGAAAATCACTCGCACAAGTCTGCACTCTTGATACGCAATCATCCTCGAGAAATAAACATCAATTTTATTGTTACAAAACTGTTGAAATATGAATACAATCATGTGTAAAAATAACACTCAGACGCAAGAGTACGACGTTCGAGTATTTGCATATACAGTGCCGTGAAAAATTATAGAATCACACTTGCTTAATTTCAGTTGTTAGTTAATTGTCAACCAACTTAGGTTGCTTAGTAAACCAAATCCATTGTTCCTGTTACACATTCGGGTATGCTCTATTCAATTATCACATCAGTCTCCTGAATACTATCATTGAGTTAGAGAAGACTCGAGCTTATCAAAGTGAACCAGTTTTTACTTGTGAAAAATTATAGAATCAGTGTCAAAACGAATTCGATTATGATTGAAAGTGATATGTATCAATAGAGAGAGTCATTCAGAAAGCTTCAATCATGAAAAATTTGAAAACAAACATATACTCGAAATGAAAATGATGAGGTATTAATCAAGCAAAAATAGCTGAAAAACACAACATACGCTCAGCAATCCGGCTAGACTTTTTGAATATATATTATATCGTTCTTTTTATCGATGAATCCAGAGAGAGAACACATTTTGCAACAAAATGAGATACTCTGGAACTCTCTACATATCTACGTTACAGCAATAGACATGTTGTCAAAAATAGCACATGAAATACCTTTTTCAAGTCTCCATCNTGAAAGTGATATGTATCAATAGAGAGAGGCATTCAGAAAGCTTCAATCATGAAAAATTTGAAAACAAGCATACACTCGAAATGAAAATGATGAGGTATTAATCAAGCAAAAATAGCTGAAAAACACAACATACGCTCAGCAATCCGGCTAGACGTTTTGAATATATATTATATCGTTCTTTTTATCGATGAATCCAGAGAGAGAACACATTTTGCAACAAAATGAGATACTCTGGAACTCTCTACATATCTACGTTACAGCAATAGGTATGGTGTCAAAAATTCAAGGGGATCGAAGAGATTCTAATCAAGTCTTAATTACTAGAAAATTACCACGTGCCTCTTGAATTTCAATAATATTGAGTATTTTTCCTAAGTCTCTATCAAAGTAAATGATAAGCTGTGATTTTCAGCTAGTTACTATTTCCCGCAATTAACCTGAGTATAAGAATTCACAAAGTTGATGGAGACTTGAAAAAGGTATTTCATGTGCTATTTTTGACAACATGTCTATTGCTGTAACGTAGATATGTAGAGAGTTCCAGAGTATCTCATTTTGTTGCAAAATGTGTTCTCTCTCTGGATTCATCGATAAAAAGAACGATATAATATATATTCAAAAAGTCTAGCCGGATTGCTGAGCGTATGTTGTGTTTTTCAGCTATTTTTGCTTGATTAATACCTCATCATTTTCATTTCGAGTATATGTTTGTTTTCAAATTTTTCATGATTGAAGCTTTCTGAATGACTCTCTCTATTGATACATATCACTTTCAATCATAATCGAATTCGTTTTGACACTGATTCTATAATTTTTCACAAGTAAAAACTGGTTCACTTCGATAAGCTCGAGTCTTCTCAAACCCAATGATAGTATTCAGGAGATTTGATGTGATAATTGAATAGAGCATACCCGAATGTGTAACACAAACAATGGATTTGGTTTACTAAGCAACCTAAGTTGGTTGACAATTAACTAACAACTGAAATTAAGCAAGTGTGATTCTATAATTTTTCACAGCACTGTATATGCAAACCGAATTATGTAATTGGTCTCTATGAAATTATGTTCAATAATGATGATGTATCTTATTCGAATAGAGTTTCCTCGTACACGAACTAATCTTAATCATTTTTCTTCTCTTCTTTTTCGATATTTGCCATATGTATAGATGGAGTAACTTCTTCATGAAGATTTTGTAGGTTTTCTATTGTTTTATATTCTGGATAAAGTTTTAATTCTGTTTTAAGTATAAAGCGTCCACTTTGATCGCATCTTTCCAAAATACAATAATCACAATTGTCAAAATTTTCCAATGTATCAAATTTCTCTACTGACCAACGATAGAAACGCATTAGGAACAATCTCATAAATAAGCCATGACTAACAATAAGTATATTATTGTTTGGTTTTAAAGTATAATCCATTTTACGATATAAACTGTCCATAAATGAGCTAACGCGATCATATACATCAGCGCCTGATTCACCATTTCCAAATCGATAAAAAAATCGCCCAATTATTTTTCTCTCTGCTGTTGTTTTTTCTTTTCTGGCTAAATTTTGAAGATTTCCCCTAGAAAAAATGAAAACAATATTTAAACTTGAATAATAATGCTATCTTGTATTACCATTCTTGTTCTCTTATACGTGGATCTTCTCGAATTTGAACAAGATTTTCGTTTGGAAACGCTTTACATATTAGTTCGCATGTTTGCCTTGAACGACGAAATGGACTAACATAACAAAATATTGTTTCATTTTTTCCAATAAGCTTTTTTAGTTCATTTCCGCAATTGAGTGCTTGTGCTTGTCCTTTTTCAGTTAAACCAATAGCATGATCAGGTACTGTTGCATAAATATTCGAATCTTGATTGCCTTGGCTCTCACCGTGTCGAATTAAAATTATACGCTTAGCATATCGGTGGGAACGATATCGTTGTGAACAAGTAACAATCATTGAACATAGCCAATCAAATATATTATTTTGATATAGAAACCATAGAATGAAGAGGATGGATATTGAAAGACTGATGATGAGCATCATATTGATTGAATATGAATGGAAATATTAGTCAGGTAAAAGATACTGTTGTTGCGTTCTATGAATTTAATAAAGCAAAATATTTTTTTGCTGATATCTGAAAAATATGACGAAAGAAAAATAAATGCAGAATGTATGACTATAGCGTATAATTACCTTTCTCACAGGTAGGTTTTTTCTATTTAGTAGGCGTACACAAATATTTTCTTATTTTTTGAAAAAAACAAGAAAAATTACGACATTTCATTATTTTTCATCATCGCATAGCACAGTCATTTTCATCTGCTGCTGTACTGTTCCGGCATTCATACATTTTAGTTGGATATTTCTGTTCACCAACCATAGACCGATCTTTTAGAAAAGCATTTTGTATGGATGAATCCATGGCAACGATGTAAGGTTCATTATTGATTATGAACGCTATTCTTTTTTGTTCAAATAAAAAACCATGATTACGTCTAATAAAACCATAGAATATCATCACGGTGGAATTTTCTAGTCAGCTACTAAATTATTTATTGGCGTATCTAACAATTACACAAAAAATCTTTTGTCGTAGTTTTTTTGCATGTATCTTGGAATTTGACGAGAATATCATTTTTCAAATAGTTGCAAATTTCATCGAAATTAGCAAAATTATAGTTTTTTTTGTATTCCAGTGAAGCGTGTCTTAAACTGGATCGTACCAAATGGAGTATGTGAAAAGAGAGATAGTTTTACTCATTATCAATTAGCAGCACTTAAATCACTCATTAGCATAATGTAGGTATATACAAAGGCAGAGAATAATAGCTAAAGAAATCGCAATGCAAGATCTCACGATTTCCCAGGAGAATTGAGCAAGACAATGTTAGGTTAAAAACTTTTCAAGGTCAACCATGGAAGATGCACGAACTAATCTAATTCTTTGGCATTCAATTGAATTCTTAAGTTGACGGATGGAGTCTTAATATTCAATAAGACTCATCATCAGTAGATTATTGGAATTTCATAATGCGATATGACAACCTTGGTGTCATATGAGAAGCATTCATAAAAGCTACCATATAGAATATAAAGAATTTCTAAAAGATAAATTAGTATTTCTAACTTTTCTATAATGTGTAGGAGAAAATAATCGATAAGAAGTAGCAGTAACACAGCACTACTGTTTTGATATATTAATCAATATTTGAACGATAGAATCTGATTTACAAGTTATGATTAATATGTTAGCTCATTGATATAAAGCTGGCATCACCTTTTTTATGCCCACCATTACGTAGATGTAATACAACGAATGAGAATCCTTTCAACAACAACAACAAAAAAAAGGAAGAATTCGATTTGGATGATCTAATATCGGTTGTTTAATAGTGGCGTGCATGAAAAATGAACAACATATTTCTTTTCTATCTGTATGTAATCTAAAAATGGCATAAAGTCAAAAAGATACCATACTGATGATCTTCTTATTTATTAATTGACTTCATATATCATTATGCAATCTACGTAAATCTGTTCTATATGAACAGAAATATTTATCAGTTTAATTATCGATGATAAGAAAAGGAGGAAATATTTTTCTATGGCCACTTTTTTTTACAATAAAATTAGCGCTCGAACAATGTCTAAATTATATATTCAATTTAACAGCAGAATTACATCATGCGTCTATTTTTATTTCGCCTACTCACGCAAGATTTTATTAGTAGTTCCGCCTAAATAATTACCGGAAACAATAAATGGTCTTGTAAATAAATAATCGTTTTTGTAACAAAAAGATAAAAATCTGATGTGATACTCATCAGAGAAACCATTTCTTAAACAACAGATAAAACACGTTTCGTACCAGTGTCATTCTTTTTCTCCTTAGGCAAAAGTGTGATTTGATCTATTATCATGCTCACCCGAACGCATCAGATTGAGAATAGATTATTATTTGACTTCAATTCATTATCAGTGTCAAAATTGCCGTACGATCTTATGAGACTTGCGTGTCTTGTCTTCTTCAAAAAGATTATATTTACTTCTTTATTTCCCATGATAATTACGTGTAAATGGCGATCAAGAAAAAATAATTTAATCGCAACTGTTACTGGCATTACATGTCAGACGTACCTTTTATTTTTCTCTTGCTGCTTTCAACGAATCATTCTTGCAAAAAGAAAGATCAAGCAAAGCGAAAAGACTCATATATTTCTGTTCATGCGTGATGCAATAAAGAGCATCCTAATATAATGGCGATGTCTTTTAAGTCTTTACCATTCAAACAGAACATAAACATCGAAGAAAAAGTGCAAGTGCTTGTCAAGCATATGTGTACTGGATAAGCGCCGTAGAACTGAACGAACAAGTAACCGAGAGTTAGTCAATTCTTTCTTTTACAATATATATATATTCGCCGATCGATAGGAGCGATGACGACGGCAATGTTCAACATTACCATTTTCCAGTGGAGTAGTATTAGCAAAAAAGAAAAAGAAAGAAAGAAAAAGGAAGAACGAAAGAAAGAGCACAACTGTGAGAGAGAAAGAAAGAGTGAGAGAGTATGCCGCAAAAATGAAGATGATTACGAAACAGACGACAAGAGAAGAAAATGTGCTCAACATGCAAGAGCATCGAGAATGTGGTTATATGTGTGTGTGCTCTCTCGTATCTTTTTCTTCTCAAAGTGAAAATGGGTAAATAATCGTAATGAGAAAGACTTTGCATATGGAGATTTCTCAGGAAATGAACTCTAGTAATGTTCATAGAAAGACTTAGAGAAGAGAGCATCTTAATGTCCATCAACCTATTCTTTTGTTTACATTATTCTTATGATGTATAACACATGATTTCTTTAGTGACTTCTTGCCTGTCTACATGTCATAGTATCTATTCATAACAACGGCTAAATATTTCATTGGCTTCTTTTTTTTCCGTTTACTTTCAGAAACATTAATCTATAGTAATTGATGATGATTATACCATGGTAAAATTTTTCAATCTTTTCTTTGTAATATTGTCATTTAATATCTGTTTATCGTCAATTAATGTGAATGGTGGTGATGAATGTGAATTTTTAAATATGTGTAAATGTACAAATTTTCCACTTTTTACATTGATCGATACGAGTTATTTATCTAAACCAAGATCATTACAGAATCAAGATTTATTTTGTACATATTCAAGTGAATATATAAATGAAACAAAATTAACAACATTTGATCAATTTAAATATTTTTATTATCGTTTCCGTACATTAACATTTTCAAATTATCCAATTCTACCTACCAAAGCATTTCGTTTTGTTCATTTTGAAAGTCAAACTGTTAAAAAAACTCATAAAACAAATAATCGAAATGTTATTGCATTCGTCAATATCGTCCAAACGCAATCAGGTATATTTGAAGAATTAAATCTTGCAGATTCTCAGGATCAACTTATGATATCGTTTCTTAATTCGCCATCATTAGTTTATACGAAGGGAGCGCTTTCAAAATTAAATTGCTACGAACTAAAATTATATAATACAAATCCAAAAATTCCATTTGACTTTTTTTACGATACTCATTCTATTCATCATTTAATTATTGATAATCCTACGTTTACCGGTTTTTTGTCGTCATCAATTACATTTAATTTTCCAGTTTATCAACTTTCAATAAAAGATATAAGTATTCGTCATTTACAAGGAAAACATTTTCCAATCATATTCGATACAGTGAAAGAATTAAAACTTGAAAATTTTAATGCAATTGGTGGCTTTCGTTCATTCAATAGTCGTGAACTAACCGAAAAGTTTCCTCAGTTAAGATCATTGAAAATATTTTCACGTTCAATTCAACATATTACTAAGCGAATGTTTGAACATTTAAATCAATTAGAATATTTAACATTGAATGGTATAACAACAATTGAAAATGAGGGTTTCTATAATTTATATAATTTAAAAGAATTAAATCTCGGCCGAAATATTCTTCGTCTTGATCCATATGCATTTTTACATATGAGCACAAATATGCTTGTATTAAATGAAAGTACTGATTTTCAATTTGATGATGATAAACATTTTTGCGTATTTGCTCAGTTTTCACCATTGACAAATCTAAAAACATTTGTAAAATTTCCAAAAGCTCTGCATACATGTTCATGTAGCACACGTTATTTATATCGACATATAGATAAATCATTTATGCCAATGACACCATCGTGTTATTCGAATTCAAGTTTATATGTTTTAGCGCAAGAAGAACGTTTATGTTACTTTGAACAACGTTTATTACAATGTCATGTTTTGCCTAGCGAAGGCATTACGATTTATGGTAAACATTACAATGTTTCATATTTTTATCAACAACAAATAGCAAAACAAAGAAATCGATTTACAATATTTTACCGTTATAAAAATTACCTATTAGTATCATTACTCGTATTAATTATAATTATCTGTTTAATTTTATGTATTATACGACAACAGAGACGACAAAATAGTAGTGCATACAGGCATTTACATCGTTTAATAAAACGACAAAGATTAACAAGTAATGATAATGTTACAACCGATATAATTTATCATCGTACGAATGGCCATCAAGATATTATATCATCAACAATCCCTATTTCAACAAAAGTTTAAACTGTCAGATTAGTAAAAAATCTATTCAGGGAATTGAATTCTTTTTTATTTTATGCCTGAGTTAATTTTGAAGTAGAAAAAAGACAAGCATACAGTATAAATTATTTTGATGCGACTTGTTGGCTTTTTTTTGCGATTTTTTAATTAAAATAAAAATAGTGTCATTAATTCAAGGGGGAAAAAACTCATTCTGGCATTCCCTGGCATTCCTTGCCATTCCCAGCCATTCCCAGCCATTCCCAGCCATTCCTAGCCATTCTCAGCCATGCCAAAATATTCATATTCTTTCCAATATATTCCTAGCTACTCTAAAATTTTCTCAAATAGGGATGGACCATTTTTCTAAATGAGACTTTGAATTAGTGTCAGTTAACATGAAACTTAAGATGTTTTTTCTTCCTGACACTTCATACTTGTAATTTATCGCTAAATCATGATATTGAACTTAATTTAAAATTAATGTAAATGGTCCACCCCTACTCGCATGTAGTATTATTTTTCATAAATTACTGTATCTGTCTTGAGTACCTTGTCATTTTCTAAAGGTTATAACTTTTCATTGAAGTCGAGTTACATAATATTAAACTTAGTTAACGCATATTCACAAGTAGTGGCATTAATCATTGAAAATCAATGGATTTTCATTGATTGAAAACTACGCATT